TTAAGATCAATATTTTTAAATATTAATTCAATTCTTGCCAATGAGGTTCAGTTTCTGCAAAAGCATAAAAAAAGTTTCATTTTTGGTTGCCTCTGTCTTTACCTGAGAAAGTAGCATTTTTCCTACAGTCCGGGAAACAAAAAGTGGTATTCTGCTTTAAATGTCACAGTATAAAATGTCTTCCAAGGTGAAATAGTTAATTCAAAGGGAGGTCAAATGTATTAGTATCACAAAGTCACACAGAAGCTCTAGTTTTCCTATTTTCTGTGCAGTGCAGACATTATTCAAGTGAAGTACAGACACATAGATTTTTCAATAAATCTTTCAAAAAATAAAGCAAAAAATGAATTAGTGGTCAAAACTATTTATTTTTATTGTATTAAATTTTTCTTTTCATAAAAGGGCAATTCAAAGTATCCCTTTGATAATATAAGTGAGCTACAATGAAAAATGTAACAAACAAAAAAGTGACAAAATACTGTTCTGAACAGAAATTAGAAAAGAATGTCCAAATTTAAATATGACTTTAAGTCTCTCAAAATCTACAATTTTGATAAATTTGGGAGGAGGAAAGGATTTTTGAAATCACAGAACTGAAGCAACTATAAAAAATAACCAGGTTAAATTTTAAAAGTCACATTTTTTAGAAATACTGAAAAAATTAAAAGGCTTACCAATTCCATGACTATAGTCTGCAGGTAGCTATTTAAAAACACTCTCAAAGTATTTTGTTTGCTAAAGTTCTCAGTTTTAATATATATTCAGGCAGAGTGTAAAGAAACACAATTCAATATTCCTGATCATAGTTGAAACTTTTCATGATAGAGCCTGCAGTTTTTATTCTATAGAATATATGATATCACTGTTTTTCTTTATTCACAGTTGTAGGTAATTATATTTTTTTCTGATTCATTACATCTTAGTATAACCTTTCTCTCATCTCTGCAACTTTACCTCAATAAATTCTTTTGAATATTATATCTAGTCTCTTAATGAATGAACCTATTATATTCATTACTTTAATGATGACAATTACCATTATTACAATTCATTCTCATGACACATATTTAGGAAAATACTATTATCACATGAATTATTTTTATGATATAGTTATAGCAGCATAAATGCCACAATAGTTTTCTTTGCCATTGAAAACCTGTCATGGAATTTTTTCCATTTGTCAACTTTAAGCAACAAAAACTATTCACATTTCCCTAAAGCACTAGTTTTTAAAATGTCCATTTGTTATCACAAGACAACACAATAAAGCTCAGTTATAAAACTACAAAAAATTATCATTGGAGATCTGTCCTTTACAAACATTAAAAAAATTCACATAAATATAAACACAGAAGAGATGTTTAAAACAAGCTAGTAAAATAAGCTAGTATAAAATAAGGAAGTGATATAAAAAACTGTAAAAGAAATATATAAATGTTAGAAAAACTTACAAACAAGTGCCTGGAAAATAGGACTGTAAGAAAACAGAGGTGACAGAATTATCTAAAACAAGAATTAGAAACCTAAAAAGTTATTTCAGAGATAAATATTAAATTATATGGAATGCAAGAGCAAATAAAAATACACAGTTCATTTTTTAAAGATTAAAATGTGAGAATATTAAAAAGTAAAAGGACAAGATTTACAGATACATAAAGAAGATCATCTGGTTCAAAAGCAAGACATCTACTCTCACTGCAGTTATTCAACACAGTTTTCAAGTTCTGACCAGGGTGATTAGACAAAAAGGTGTTCAAATAGGAAAGATAAAAAGTAAAGCCATCACTAGTTCCAAATGACATGATAATATACATGAAAAATCCTAAAACTCCAGTTTTAAAAAAAAAACAAAACAATAAAGTGGCATGCTAATAAATTAGGATACAAAAATGTGTTGTGATCTTATATGCAAATAATGAGCTAGCAGAAAGAGAAGTCACAAAATAATGCCATTTACAATCGTATGGAAAAATAATTAAATACCTTGGAATAAATTTAACCTAGGAAATGAAAGACCTATACACTGAAAACTGGATGACATTATTGAAAGAAGTAGGATACACAAGCAATGGAAAGATATTCTGTATTCACTGACAAAACAATTAACTTTGTAAAATTGGCCTTATTACCTAAAACAATATCCAGATTCAGTGTAATACTTATCAAAAGTCCAATGGCACAGAAATAAAACAAAAATCATAAAATTAATTTAAAACTACAAAATAGGGCCTCCCCTGGTGGCGCAGCAGTTGAGCACTGGGCTGCAAAGCTGCCCGCAGCCTCTGCAGCACCAGATCGATCCCCAGCCGCTGCGAGGGTCCCACATGGCGCGCAGACCTCTCCTGCAGCCTGCTGCTCCCCTCAGCAGTGTATTTCGTCAGTCTGCCTGTTCTGTTCCCTGCTCTGGCTCTGGTGAATTCTCTCACCCTCCCGCACTTCTGACTGTACCCAGTGCTTGTATAAATAAATAAATAAATCTTTAAAAAAAATAAAACTACAAAATATGTCAAATAGCTACACAATCCTGGGTAAAAGAGCATATATGGAGCGATCAGATTACTTACTTCAAACTCTACTATGAAGCAATAGAATCACAAATAGAATGGTAATGGAATAAAAAAAATACAGATCAAAAGAATAGAATTGAGACCCACGAAATAAATACACACATATATGGACATCTAATATATGACAAAGATGTCAATAGCATACAACAGAGAAAAGAAAGACTTTGAAAAATGGTACTGGGAAAACTGGACAACTAAACTACATGGCAAAGAATGAAACTACTATCTCATACCATCCACAAAAATTCAAAATTGTTTAAAGACTTGCATATAAGATCTGAAACAATAAAAATACACAGAAGAAAATATACTTAATATGCTCCTTGACATCAGCCTTAGTCAATCTTTAGGTATTTGATTCCAATGGCAAAGGAAACAAAAGCAAAATAAAGATGTGACTAAATCAAACTAAAAAGCTTCTGCATAATGAAGATACATATATATATGTATATATATATATCAAACAAAAGGGCATCTGGCTGAATGAGAAGATACTTGCAAATCACACATCTGACAAGGAGTTAATATTGAAAATGTAAAGAATTCATAAAATTCAACAACAAAATCCGAATTTACAAAATGGGCAGAGTATCTGAATAGTTGCTTCTTCAGAGAAATTATACAGCTGGCCAACAGGCATCATCTTTAATTAGTAGGGAAATGCAGATCAAAACAATAGTGAGGTATCATCTCAAATGTGAGTTATCATCTCATAACTATGAGAATGGTCATTATCCAAGAGATAAGAATCAACTAGTGTTGGCATGGCTGTGGAAGGAAGGGAACCCTTGTACACTGTTGGTGGGAATGTAAATTGATGTAGCCATTATGAAGAATAGTATGGCAATTCCTTAAAAAAAACAATAATAATAGAAATGCCATAAGATCCAGTTATCCTACTTCTGGGTATTCACCCAAAGAATGTGAAAACACTAATTTGAAGAGATATAGGTACACAGGCTCCCACATGATATGTATATATGTATACATGTGTATGAGTGTATGTATATAGATATGTACAATGGAATATTACTGAGCTGTTAAAAAAATGAAATCTTGTCATTTGTAACAACATACATGGACCTAGAAAATATTGTGGCATATGAAATAAGTTATATGGAGAAAGACAAACAATATATGATTTCACTCATAAATGGCACAAAAAAGAAACAAAACAAATGAAGTAAATAAAACAAAAATAAACTTTTAAACTATAAGACTGAAATAGTGGTTCCCAGAAGGGAAAGAGATAGGTGATTTGGGTAAAAGGGATCAACTGCATGGTGAAGAATAGAATTAGACTTTTAGTAATGAAGTTATTATTGCATGTACAAATGTTGACTTATAATAAGTACCCTTATATAATGTTACAAACCAATGTTATTTCAAAATAAATTGAAATGCCAATTCTACATTCCAGATAAGTTTCATCAAATCTACAGAATTCAAATTTATTTTAGTATGACATCTTTTTTCAGAGCATGGATCCAATCTAGATCAGTAGATTTCATAGAAAAAAGTTGATTTTATGTAGTCAAATATTAAAGATTTTTCTTAAAGGAGGTATTTGATATTGCAAATAGTGAATCCAATGAATATAGAAAAGCATTTGAGAGTCCTGTTGATAGAAAATAGTGAAGGGGCTTCTTTGTGACATAGGGGTTAAGTCTTAGCACTGTCACGCTATCACCACTAAAGTTCGATTGGGCCAAGGAGCTAAAGAACATGTCCCAGCAGACTGCTTCTGTTTCGCCTGCTGCTCCCCTTAGCAGTGTATTTTGGTAAATCCACCTGTTTTGCTGCCCACTCTGTCTCTGGTGAATCCTCTCACCCCACACCGCTGGCCCACACCCCAATAACTTCTATGAAAAAATAAATAAGTCTAAAAAAATAGTAAAAACTCATGCACTGTTTTTTTTTATCATTATAGCCTCTAATAAATGCAAATCAGAAGATATGCAGTTAATATAATGACAGTTCACTGATTATTTATACTCCTTATCTTGAATTACTACCTTATAAACTGAATTAGTAGAATAAAATTACAAAATCCTAACCTTTTTGTATCCCACTGCCTCAAATTATGAACAGTTCACCTATCACAAAGCCATGTGAATGTCTAGGATATTTTACATGTGAATGTCTAGGATATTTTACAGCATCAATCTAATCACACCAACATGAGTATTTGACAATTGGGATCATCTGTTATGAAACAGACTGAAATTGCACCCAAAAAATGTTCATCAGATATTGTTAATAACACATCCTCCATTGTATATTAATATAACAAGAGTAACAAAATTCAAAATATGTCCTGAATTGAAACCTGTTCACAAGCTATTTAGAAGGAAAAACAAGTATTGCTAAGACTGCACTGCCCCCTAGAGAAAAGACTTGTGTGTTTCACTGAATTTCATTTGCCTTTTCCAGATCAGTATTTTCATGACCCATTTGTCCAACTATGGAAATGACCGGCTGGGATTATACACTTTTGTTAACCTGGCCAACTTCGTCCAGAGCTGGACCAATTTGCGACTTCACACTCTGCCTCCAGTGCAGCTGGCTCACAAGTACTTTGAGCTCTTTCCTGATCAAAAAGACCCTCTCTGGCAGGTAAGATTCATTTGATAATTGGTATAATTAACCCCACAGCCATATTTTATAGTGCCATAAAATAATCTGAACCTGAAAAGTGGGGGGAATATATGCATTTTGGAAATGTTTGTAGCTTTGAAAAACTACTTCTTCCTGAATTGAAGTTCTATATTCATATTAGGCTAATTCCCATTAGATATTATGGAATTTTGAAAGCTCCATGCGGGGGGGGGGGTCAGTGGAGGTAATGTTTTCAGTCAGGAGTAAGGGATCAACTTGCAAACTGCAAGAGACTAACGAGCAGAAGATGGTAAACAAGGTATGTGCTGGACAGGAAGCCAGCCAGCTGAGCACATCCCCATATCTAAGACTAAATGGCATTAGAGGGACAGGTGAGAAGAATTCACAACTGACATATGCCTTCTGGACCACTGGGTACACCAACAATCACAGAATAGGGGCGGCTTTCAAAACTATCCACTGGGTATTACTTTTGATGTGGGGAAAACATTTTATGAAAATATCATTGAGTTTAAAAAAATATTCCCCTTTAATATGATATATTCAAACTGTTCTAGGCACATACCAAATTTAAAGCATACAGCTGCACGTGTCCTAAAATTGCAGACACATGCTCTGAATTTAAATGGCCCATTCTGTGACCTGGGAGAAGTAGTAATAATAGCAAATAATTACATCATATCTACTACGTGTCAAACTGGTCTCTTCACACGTTATCTCATTTAATTCTCAGAACTACCCAAAACAGAGGTACAGTTGTTATCCCCATGAAGAAACTAAGGCACAGAAGGTTAAGTTGCTTAAGCATGTCACACACTAGCTGGAGAGTTAGAGCGAGCGGAGGTCACAACAGTAACAATCTTCAGAAGTAAAACTCAGTAAAATGCACCAGTTGAAGATGGAGTGAGTTCTGATCTTTTTTTTTTTTTTTTTTTTTTTTTTTTTTTTTTTTTTTTTAGAGAGGCATGTTTTTATTTGTTTGTTTTTTTGTTTGTTTGTTTATACATGCACTGGGTACAGTCAGAAGCGCGGGAGGGTGAGAGAATTCACCAGAGCCAGAGCGGGGAGCAGAGCAGGCGGAAGGACCGAAGTACACTGCTGAGGGGAGCAGCGGGCGGCAGGAGAGGTCTGCGCGCCATGTGGGACCCTCCTCCAGTGGCCGGGGAGCAGCCGGGGATCGAACCGGCGCTGCAGAGGCCGCGGGCAGCTTCGCAACCCAGCGCTCAACCGCTGCGCCACCAGGGAGGCCCAGTTCTGATCTTTATATTCAATTCATTCAGCTTTGAACTTTAGCTAATTACTGCCTTAGCATAAACAGATAACTCTGAAAGAGACATAACTCAACTTTAATTTAGTAGGTTAAATCAGTAGTTATAGAATAACTGCATGTTATTTTGTAGTTGTTATAACACACTTTTTTTTTTTTACCTTAACAACTACAAAACATCATCAAACGTTAGGCTCTGGAAAGACATGCAATTTTCCTGATAATTTTAACACCTTGTTTTTAAAATGAAATCATTATTATTTCAGGTGACAAGTTAAAACCAATTTTATTCCAGAACAGAAGGCAAAAAAAAAAAAAAAAGCCCTTACTTTAGTCTTAACATCTGTTGCTTACTGAAAATAAGCGGGTTGATTTAACTACACATATCAATAGTATTAATTGGATAGAAATAAAGTGCTGTCCTGTCTGCCCATTCCTGAAACGGTACTGAAGGGTACAGCTAATCTTCCTACTAGATACACTTTGCCATTAAAATTAAGGGTATTCTAGTTGCATCTTGCACAACGGGCATGGGCTTAAGTACCACAAACCAAAAGCTGACCTATAAAGTAGGAATTCAACCTCATTTTACCATTTGTTGAAATTTAGTACTTTTTAGCATCAATCTGCACCATTTATAGTTTTAAATATATATCCATTGACCTTAGAAGGCAGCTGAGAAGAAGCTGCTGTCTCCTTAACAGTATTATTATAGACAGATCCACATTCCTCTGAAGCACAGCAAGAAAACTAAAAGTTTCTCAGAATAAAAATCTGCACCTCATATTTCAGTTTATTTATTCAATTCTGAGATTATCTTCTCTTAGGGTGGCAAGAAGTGCCATCTCTAGGCAGCAAGCTCACAAATTTAAAAACAGACACCCACACAAACACACACACTCACAAACACACACACGAATAAGATGCAGAACCATCAACAGCAGAAAATATTAAACCTTCAGTGTTATGAAGTTAATTACTCCTGGTGAGAAGAATGTCTCCACCCCCCACCTCCTCAAGAGACATCAACTTTAGGATGCAAAGGAGTTGTTTGAAAGTGTCCATGATGCCTCTTCAACACATTCCTTTAAAAAAAAAAAAAAAAAGAGCCAGAGCCACATAGCTTTCTTCCCTGGATATCTTTTAAGAACAGAGGTTGAAAAACTCTAGCACACAATGGACACACGCAAAAAAACACATCTCTATTATTCTTCCATTTAGAATCCTTGTGATGACAAACGCCACAGAGACATTTGGTCTAAAGAAAAAACCTGTGACCGCTTACCAAAATTTTTGGTAATAGGACCCCAGAAAACTGGTGAGAACTTTTATAATGATTAACCAAACAGTTACCAATCCTGATAACTAGACGATGAGCTCTTGTGACAATGAATTCTTGAATTTGGTATAAATGCTGCTGAATGAATGATACATTTTAAATTAACCATATCTAACAACCATATCTTTTGTGTTTAAAGAATACATGTTATTTTGATACATTTACAGATCCTATGTGATGATTTCTGTAGCTATATTATGTTATATGATTATGATACAATGTTGTCTATATTCCCTCCCCTATGAACACATCACTGTGGCTTACTTGCTACCTGCTGCAATTATGTACCCTTAACTAATATCCATCTTCTCCCCACCTCCCATTCCCTGGTAACCACCATTTTACTTTATGTTTTTTTTCCAATCTTCCCCTTCTTTTAGATTTCACTTATATCATACAGTACTTGTCTTCCTCTGTCTGGCTTATCTCACTTAGCATACAGTGCTCAAGTTTCATCCACATTGTCATAAATGGCAAGTTATCTTCCTTTCTTATGGCTGAATAACATTCTACTCCATACATATATTACATCTCTTTTTTATCCATATTTTTTTGATGGACAACTAGGTTATTTCTATATCTTTGCTACTGTGAATAATGATGCAATAAACATGGGAATGCATATATCTCTTCAAAATACTGCTTTCTTTTCCTTTGGGCATATAACCAGCAGTAAAGTTGATGAGTTCCATGGTAAATTCATTTTTAATTTTTGAGAAATATCCATGTTGTCTTATATAGTGGCTAGAGCAATTAACCTTCCCACCAACCATATCAGTTTTCTCTTTACACCACATCCTGGCCAGCCTTCATGACAAGTCTAAGTAACACATTTTATTCTCTGACATAATCTTTGTTTAGCATTTTAATGTGCTTAAATGGTTTTGTTGTTTGTTTTTTAAGTGAAAAAGGTGAAAATAGATGTCACATGATTTGAATATCCAGGCATCAATTTGGTAGTAATGTTTTCTCCCAAAGATCTTGATTGAAAAGTTTTTTTTAAAACCATGTTTTCATTGACTCCCTGCTTTATTTTATTATTTTTTTAATATTTTATTTATATAAGAACCGGGGTACAGGCCAGATGCACGGGAGGGTGAGAGGATTCACCAGAGACTGAGCAGGAACAGAACAGGCAGACTGACAAATACACTGCTGAGGGGAGCAGCGGGTGAGACAGGAGAGTTCTGCCACGCCATGTGGGATTCTTGCCGGCGGCCGGGATCGAACTGGCGCTGCAGAGGCTCGGACAGCTTCACAGCACAGCACTCAACCGCCTGCGCCACCAGGGGAGGCCCTGAAAAGTTTTATTACCATTTCTAAACTCAGAACTAACCACATGGTTAGAGAGCGACTAACAGGATTTTGTCAAAGGGCAAGAGGGACACATATAAGTACTGGTAACTCTTTATAATAAATCCCTTCCAGAAAAATAACCTCTTCTGCCTCATCCTGTTATAAATTTATTTCTACACTTACTTGCAGAGATGACTATTTTCAAAAAGTCTGAAAGATGTTAGACAAGCAGAATTCCTAGACATAAACAAAATGATGTGCTAAGAAAGTTATTTATTCATACCCGGGAGAAATCTTTTGCACATTTCCTTAAATTGATGTGCAGTTTTTTCCATAAACTTCTTATTTCTCTAAGAATTAGAATTAAAATGAAGCCCAGTGGAAGCTTTAAAATACCACACATTAATACTGCATCATGCAGGATAAATTATTTGCGACCCATGGGTTCTGGCTTCACAGAAGACAGCAAATTCAGCCCAGATCCCTTCCAAGGGGGGATACATTCCATTTCTTCCTCCCTTTGGAAGTAACTGGGAGAATTCTATGGAATGCATCCACTGTCTAGCTTACTCATTTTTCCTTAGCCCCATTTTCAAATATCAATCTGAAAACAATAATAAACATGATGAATACTTTTCCTTCTGTGTTTCACTTGTCGTAATCTATTTAAAGTCAAGAGGCAAAAAGAAAGACATTTAGATTAGTCTGTTCCATGGACTCCCACTGTTATCACATAGTTTTGTCATTACTGATCACATCTTTTCTCTGACGCTTGATGTGTTGAGTTTGCTTCAGAAAGCCCTGCAGGATATATTTCCCCTTGGGCTATGCTAGATATGCAGGCATTTTAATATCATGGTTAGATGGCAGAATTATTACTTGTCATCTTAAACTCAACTGGGTTTCCAAATGTTTATGTTACAATTTGTAGATGACATTTACCTTTGGAAGGGAATTTTTTTAGCTCCTCCTTAGAAGGGAATTTTCCCCCCTTGTTTTACAGAAGTATAATTTACATGCAATAAAATTCACCCATTTTAAATGTACAGTTAAATGAGTTTTGGAAATTGTACATAGTTGTGTTGCCACCACCACCATATGCAAGATATAGAACATTTCTATCTCCCTTAAAAAAACTTTAAAGATTTATTTATTTATGTATACAAGAGCTGGAGTACAGGTCAGAGATGCAGGGGGTGAGAGGATTCACCAGAGACAGAGTGGGGGACAGAACAGGCAGATCGACTAAAATACACTGCTGAGGGGAGCAGCGGGCGACGCAGGAGAGGTCTGCTGCACCATCTGGGCAGTTCCCCAACCAGGGATCGAACTCATGCTGCAGTGGCTATGGATTGCTTCATGGTTCTGTACCTTAACCCCTTGTGCCACCAGGGAGGCCCCATTTCTCTAAAAAATTTCTCCACATTCCTTTATAGTCATCTCCCCCTGTTCCTTCCTCAGCCAAAGGCAACCACTTTCTGCCACTATAGTTTTGCCTTTTCAAGAATGTTATATAAAAGGAAGCATGAAATGTGAAATCTTTTCTCTTTAACTGCTTTAACTTAGCATACTTTTGCTTTCCATCCATGTTGCGTATGTTGATATTTGGTGAAATTGATTTTTTTTAACAATTTATTTATTTTTATACAGGAACGGGGGTACAGGCCAGATGCACAGGAGGGTGAGAGGACTCACCAGAGACAGAACAGGGAACAGAACAGGCAGACTGACGAAATACACTGCTGAGGGGAGCAGTAGGCGAGACAGGAGAGGTCTGCCTGCGCCATGTGCGTCTCCACGGCCCGCAGGGATCAAATGGGCACTGCAGAGGCTGTGGACAGCTTCACAGTGCTGTGTTCAACCCGCTGCGCCACCGGCGAGTCCCTACAATATATATTTTTTTAATAAAAATCTACAATTTTGCAAGAAAGATATATATTGACAGTTTCAGTAGATATTCAGAGAGGCCCCCAAATTGATTTTTAAATGGACAAAAATAACTTTGTACTTCAGTTCCATAAAAATTAAATAACTACACTTTTAACTTTAGTTTTTTCTAAAGTATTTTTCTGAGTAATTTTGCATAAATGTATGATCAGCTGGATAATCAATATTTTTAGTATTGAAACTGATGAAAATAGGAAAATGGAAGCTTTACATATGGTTATTTGAATATGTGCATTTATGAATACATAGTAAAGTTAGACACATACAAACAGACAGATACATAAGCATATACACACACAAAGGACAGTTGATTCAGAACCAAAAATAAGTATAGGAAAAGAGAGTATACCACAACTTAACTTTTTGACCACTGATAAATTACCCTATGTTTTTACTGACTGTGCAAACTATTAGTTGCATTCATATTTTCTGTTTGTATTTTTAATGCTGGTTATGAATGGTTATTAAAAGCAAACAATATGATTGAATATAAATTTTAAAAATAAAATGTTTTCAGTTGGCTTAAGAAAGGAATGTATATATTATTATTCTTTTTTCACACCGTAAAAGCCCTACTTGTCCACACAAAGATATGCTCTTGTCTTTTTTAATCCATTACTGAATTATCTCAACAAAGTTTTCATTTTAAAAATACTTGACTAGGCCTCCCTGGTGGCGCAGTGGGTTGAGCACAGTGCTGTGAAGCTGTCCGCAGCCTCTGCAGCGTGGGTTTGATTCCCAGCCGGCCAGGAAGATATCCACATGGCGCAGCAGACCTCTCCTGTCTTGCCCGCTGCTCCCCTCAGCAGTTTGTTTCGGTCAGTCTGCCTGTTCTGCTCCCCACTCTGTCTCTGGTGAATCCTCTCACCCTTCTGCATATCTGGCCTATACCCCGGTTCTTGTATAAATAAAAAAATCTTGTAAAAAAAAATACTTGACTAATAATCAAGTATACCTGAATGGTACTACTTAGGAACTTTCACATAGGTTATTTCACTTGACTTGGTGAAAATCCTGATAGCTAAGAATTTTCCTCCACAAGACAAACAAGAAATGATCGGGTTAGATCATTTTTGTTTGAGTTCACATAGATAGTAAATGCTAGGAAAACATTGCTGACCCTAGAATTTACTTGACTTTAAAGACTGTGTGCTAGGAAGCTTTACTCTATTCTGGATTTCAGGTAAGAAAACATTTTTCCCAAATAAGTATTAGCTTTGGTTTTATATTTCTTACAAGTCAGTGCTTCTCAAAATGTGCTGAATCTGAATTTCTGAAATAGGGCCCAGCTCTCTGTGTTTTAACATGCCCTCCAGATGAACCTGATACATGCTAAAGTCTAAGAACCACTGTTTTAAGTCCAGCTTGCGAAGAACACTTTTACCTTATGTATCAGGGATTGTTATATTTAGTTCCCTAGAGTTATCATGTTTATATAATCTTCATTTTTAACTCATAAATAATCTAGGAGCATTGTTTCTTTTGATTCATTTTTTTTTCAGACAACACCACAGTTATCCATTATTCAAAAATCTGTTGGATACATATGGTAGATTTAAATATAATACTAAATAAAATTTATCAGAGAAATAAGAAAATTCAAATTTTTATACAGATAGCAACATGACATTATTGCTAAGCAAAATAAGAACAGTAATTTCTGGAAGTGAGAGAAATGTTGTAAGACCATATCTGATTAACATTGCTAGCTATTGACCTGAAATACAATTAACAGTTCCTGCTCTATCAGATGTATAATAAGGTAAATCATATTAGAGTAGAGAAGTGGAAATTAGAGCATACATTTCTGCCTTAGGAGTACTGAATACATCACCTAGAAACACTTTTATTTATACTATGATTTTATAAACACAGTCATGGTTGCAAACACATGACTAAATATTCAATAAACAGAACTCAGGTTTCCTAATTTTCTCATGCAGCAGTCTAAGCTAAATACTTCTTCCTAGTGAGGTATAACTGACATGTAACATTATATTAGTTTTCAATGTACAACAAAATAATTTGATATTTGCATATATTATGAAATTACCAGAAAAGTCTCGATAACCTCTGCCACCACACATGGCTACACATTTTTTTCTTTTAGCAAGAACCTTTAAGATTTACTCTCTTAGCAATTATCAAATATGGATTATAGTATTAACTATAATTGCCATCCTGAACATTATATCCCCAGGGTTTATTTATTTTATAAATGGAAATTTGTGCCCTTTAACCCCTTTCAGCCATTTTGTTCACCTATAGCACCTGCCTCAGGCCACTACCATTCGGTGCTCTGAATCTATGAGTTTGATTTGTTTAGATTCTCCATATAAATGAGATTCTGTGGTCTTTGTCTTTCTGTCTGACTGATTTCATTTTCAGCAAAATGACCCCAAGATCCATCCATGATGTCACAAATGGCAAAATTTCCTTCTTTTTATGGCTGAATAATATTCCATCTCATGTATGTACCACAATGTCATTGTTCATTCACTCATCATTTGTTTCCATATCTTGACTTTTCTAAGTAATGCTACAATGTACATGGAGGTGCAGATACCTTTTTCAAGTTAATGTTTTAGTTTTCTTTGTATATATGCACAGAAGTGGAATTGATGAATCATGTGGTAGCTCTATTTTTAATTTTCTGAGGAACTTCCACACTGTTCTCCATTGTGGCTGCACCAATTTACAATCCCACCAAAAATCTACAAATAGGAGGCCTCCCTGGTGGTACAAAGGGTTAAGATGCAACCTGTGAAGCTATTCTCAGCCACTGCAGCAGAGTTGGATCCCCAGCTAGGAAGCTACCCAAATAGCGCAGCAGGCCTCTCCTGTCTCACCCACTGCTCCCCTCAGCAGTGTATTTCAGTAGATCCACCTGTTCTGTCCCCCACTGTCTCTGGTGAATCCTCTCACCCCCTACACCTCTGACCTGTACCCCAGTTCTTATATTCATAAATAAATCTTTAAAATATATATATATACACACATATATATACACACAAATGGGGGCCTCCCTGGTGGCGCAAGGGGTTAAGTCACAGCACTATGAAGCTGTCCCACAGCCACTGCAGCATGAGTTCCATCCCAGGCCAGGGAGCTAACCCACATGGCACAGCATAACTCTCCTGTCTCTCCCACTGCTCCCCTCAGCGCTGTATTTCAGTAGATTTGCCTGTTCTGCTCCCCACTCTGTCTCTGGTGAATCCTCTTACCCTCCATACCTCTGGCCTATACCCCAGTTCTTGTATGCATAAATATATAAATCTTTAAAAATATATATACACAAATGTTCCTTTTCCCCTCATCTTTATTAACACTTGTTATTTCTTGACTTTTTGAAAATAGCCATCCTAACATGTATGAGATAATATCTCAGTGTGGTTTTGGTAAGCGAGGTGGGTGATCTTTCATCTAAGAAGGCAAAGCAAAGAAAACTTAGGTGCCAAAGTAAAAAAATAAATCAGTGACTAAACTGAGGTTGAAAACAAGTTCTCCCAAACCCTGTAATATTCCTCTCTCTTCCTCCTATCACCATATCTCCAATTTAAAATTTTTCTTCTTTTAAAATGGTTGATATCTATTTGATTTGATTCAAGGGGTACTGGTAATATGTATGTTTGGATCATCATAACAGTTAACATGCATTAAGTGTTGACTTTGAAATTCTAAGAGTAGGAAACTATGTTTTCATTGAATTAATCTCTTAAACCTCTATTGTTTTTTCAGGTACCACTGCTTTGTATTTGTTCCTGGTTATGCATCCTTCCATCCTTAGTAACTCCCCCAGCCCAAAAACCTTTGAGGAGGTACAGTTCTTTAATAGAAATAACTACCACAGGGGGATTGATTGGTAAGATGGGTTATTAGTATAAATCTAAAAGTATATGTACTGTGAACAGCATAAAATTAGCACTAATATTTATTAACATATACATAGCCACAAATAAAAGTTATCTTCTTTGCTTGGAAACATAATGGAAAACATTAAGGTGCACAGAAATAATTCATAACTTATCTTTCTCAGTTCATGAAGGGATGTGTTGCCTCCACATATTATTTCAATTTGCAATACCTTGGATGGTAATTAATAATGTGAAATCTAAGAAATAACTTTAATACCTAGTAATTTCACTCCTCTCTACTCTTTGGAAAATACATTCAAAGCCTGCTCTTCTTGTGCACTTTGCATTAAAGTGACACCATCATCCATATATATATAATTTTCTATTTTGCTTTGGCATAAAAGGAAATTAAACAGAACTAGAAATATATGTACATTTCATGAAAGGTACCAAGAAGCTATCAATAATATACAAAATTTAATTTTTAGTCTTTGTATTAAAATTTGAAATGTATCATCTGAGGAAAATAGTAAAAATAAAATTAAAAGCAATAATGTCAAATATACACAAAATATAGCATTGTCATAAATTGTATTTAGAAGTTTTACCGTCTAAGGTATAATTCTAGGCAGAAAGTTATATGAAAGTAGAATACTATAGCATGAGCATAAACATTTTGCATGTATTTTAGTATAAACCACTTTTATATTAACCTCTGTTGTCAAATTGCATGATCACTGTTTTAGAAGTATCAGCCCCCTCAACTGTTGCTTGTGGAAAGCAACATGGAAAGATAAAGAAATGAGTTGAGTATGATTTATATATCTTCTAATTGTTATAATTTTTATTGCCAATTCTTTAGTATAGCACTTGATATTAAATGCACAGTGTTAAATAGCAGCTGGGAGAATCAGGAAACCATCAACTACTTCAAATGCTATTTAATCACCAACTCAAATATACATTAGAATTAATGACTTTAACATCAAGACTAAAGGGGGTAATTAGAAATGACTTTAGAAGTGAAAAGGAGTGTAGTGCTTGGATTCCCTGCAACTTAATATCTGTGGAAATAATCAAAAATTTTAAAAGCTGATCATTATGCCATAAATGTATATCGGCATTATAATAGGAATAAAAAGTCCCTTAAGCAGTATACTAAGAGATGACATAAATAAGGAAAAAGTTAAAGAACAGTTAAAGATTTTAATTATAACTCACTGAAAATACCCCAATTGTAAACACTCTTGATTGACAAATGATATGTTTATAAAAGTCAATTAACACAAACAACAAATCATAGTTACTGCTAATGTCAATCTATTAACAATAACCATAGATTTGCTCTCAATGACAGCAGATGTATTCATAGTCTCAGACTTGCCTTGCTTTCCAGGAAGTCTCAGCATCTCAGCAGTCCCTTGGGGGCTACATGTGAACCTGCTAGACTTAAGTCACTGTAAGGCCACCATTTTTGTTACCTGAAGTTCTGCATTTTTGCATTCCTATACAAGGTCAGAGTTGCCTGGTCAATCATTTATAGGAGCTTAACCTTACAAGGTGCTTTTCAAATCAATCAAGAGCAGAAAGCTTGATCACCCTGGGAAGGGTATGCATCATGAGGTATGACTGGGAACACCCGGGGGCTGTTGACTGATGTATGACAAAGGACCCCAGAAGCCAATCAGTGGTACGCCTTGTTGATAAGATTGGAACCCAGGATTCTGGGATATGGTTTAAATTACCCCAGGTCATCAAGCAGATAAGCATTTTTTGGTCAGCAGACTCATGTCCCCTGAAGCCCTAGATGACATAAACACATTTCATTTTCACCCTTTTTTTCTCCTATCCCACATAACTGATGCTGTATGATTATTCCGTCAATAAAAAGGCCAGGATCTTGCGCATTCAGCAATATCCTGCATTGTGTAGCCTGCTCCACTACTCCCTTTTATCGGTATGGTGTTGCCTATGCAATAGCCACAGACCCACAAAGTTTTAGATTATGTGTCTCAGAATGCCAAGGACACACACAGAACTAACCCAGGCACAGTAGTTTAACCTGGATATAAGGATCTGTTTTTCTTGGAGAAGCGGTTAAAACCAGGGCTGTCTTAACTGACAGGCAGCCTAAACATGGACTTAGGACACAAGAAAAGTAGGACATATGAATGTTAGAAAACTCCATTGTTGATAGCCAAAATTTGCAATCAGAAGATCTAAGAAAATGATTTGATGAAAAATGGCTTGAAACATTTATATTTTATGATTTGACATTACATTTTTTTAATTACCTAGGGATATAGTGGAGGTTTGGAGTGATGTGTGGAGAACTATGAAATCTTGTTAGCACTTCCAACCTCCTAATGTCTTAATCTGGCTTTGGGAATAATCACTTAGAAATACTTAAGATGAATCTTATAGGAATACTCAAGATGAACCCCAGTAATAAACATGTGTGGAATATTGCAAGATCAACATTTTTTAAGCTAAGAAAAGTTTCTGAGGAGTGACAGAGGTAGCAAAGCTGAAGTCAGGCCAGCATTCCCTTTCAACCCTCAGGTGGTTAAGCCATTCTACACCACTACTGTCCCCACCAATTCTTTGGATAACTTGAGTTCAGATTCTCCAAATCTTCAGATTTTCACCCTGCAAATATGTAGCTGAATTCTCTTTATTTGTTGATTTATTCTTCAAGTATTTTTCAAGTACCTATGAGCACCAGCCATCATTCTCCAAAAATGTGACATGTGGCAAACAAGAACTGGATCCTAATTTCTCTGCAAGCTTGGGGCTAAGCAAAATCAACATGTTATAGATTCAAGATCAGGAACTGTGTAAGGAGGGTTTCATGGCCTAATCTGCTCCAGATAGAGAGAACTACTGGGTAGGCGGGACAATCTTTAGAAATTAAAAATTAGCTGAATTCAGTAGTTTCTGCCCTTGTTTATTGATTTTGTTCAAGGCTTTTTTTAGAATAAGCAAGCTTGGACCAACTGGCATTCCACTAGTCTCTTGGGAAAGCTTAGCACCCACAGAATCAGTGTGAGCATCTCAATCAAGAAATCTCTGAAATGTGGCACTTTCTGTAAATAGAATATACAACAAAATAGAGAGTAGGTCAAACTTGCCAGCAATGTTTGTACATCTCTTTCCCCTGAAAAGGATGCCAGAATGACATATCACCAATATGGCAATTTTCGGAAAACAGAAAAGAATTTCTTTAGTGCCCTGAGTTTCAAGACATCACTTTGTTACACCAACCAACTTTGCAGTATGTTAACAACTGGAATCTTACCAGCGCTTTATTCTGAAAGAAAGCTACACACTGCAAAAAGAAGTCATCAAATAAATGTGAATTAGTCTTTTATTTAGTATTCATAAGCTACCTTTCTTGGTGCCCCAAACTCATGGTGACTTATCAACTAAAGAGGGTAGAGGGTGATGCCATTATAAAATATAAGAAATCCTGGAAGTAAAAATTGTATGTTCTCTCGAAAAAGGTCCTGTTCCTCTAGAAGATGTCCCCTAGTGCTTCAGAAATATCTGTTATCATATGCTGAATAAGTTTCTATTTTACAACGTTTGCACTGATGGAACACTATACACAATCCAGTATATTCTACATCTCTGTGCTTGAGGCTCAGATATTCCCGTGTTTACTCTGCTGGTGTTTGAATTCTTACCTGAATTCCCAGAACTTGACCTTGGGGAATTTGATAGGATTTTATATTTAGAAATAAGTGCACACTTTTAAAAGCTTTCTAATCAATCTAACAAATATAAATGACTCTGTAGGATAAAATAAGCAAATAAACAATGCCTACACTAGATCTGCTTTGCACTTTGATACTTCATAGTTCAATATAACATCAACTCCGTAGTGCAAATGAAATTATTTTATCGTGATTAAGTAAAAATGTTTTGTCTAAATCACTTTAAAATGCCTTTGAACTAGCAACTATTATCTAATTTTCTTTTTAGTTTAATGTTTACAGCTTTCTCTGTTAAATACTGCATTTAGATATATTTTGGATATTTAGGCTGATTAATGTTGCAATTTAATCACTGTGTGTATATTTTTGTTATCTCATATCTTTTTCCTGATATTAAGCTAAGCAAAGTACATTTAGAAAAGATTTGTAAATACATCGTCAGCATACTGTCTAGTTTTCTCTTATTAACTATGTAGGACAATACGTTTAAAAAAAAAGATTTAGGAAATTGATGAGCTTGTGGGACACACTGAACATCTTCAGTCACCAGGATATAAGTATTCACTAGTCTTACTATGAGAAATATTCCTTTTCTAGGTATATGGATTTCTTCCCTGTCCCATCTAACATCACCACTGACTTTCTGTTTGAGAAGAGTGCCAACTACTTCCACTCAGAGGAAGCTCCTAAAAGAGCAGCTTCTCTGGTTCCCAAAGCCAAGATTATCACTATTCTTATTGACCCATCGGACCGAGCATATTCCTGGTACCAGGTAAGAGAAACAGAGTCAGGAGGTAGAACGGGACGATGGAAGATGGAAGATGGTTTTCAAAAACATTAAAGCCACCATCTCTGGCTTTAACAAAAGAAAAGATTTACTAGTTTTATATTTGCAGAAAAAGCGGATTTTTTTTCTGTTTCCATGGAGAACTTTCTTCTTAAACTTTTATTAATTTTGTATTCACTAAACTAATTTATTTAACAAATTATTAATGCAATGAAGATATTAGACTATAACAAGCAAAACAGAATATGTTTACATGTATACCTGTGTGTCTATACACCTTTATTTAAAAGTGAAACATTACAATGTTATCTAAAATCATTATTTTTCATCTAATACATCCACATCAAATACATCAAATACATGGTGCTATTATTATTTATGGATGAGGAGAGTGGCTGATTCCCTCAAGAAGTCACTGCTTTTTTGTGTAAAGTACTAGCAAGTAAATATTTCAGGCTTTGTGGGCCACACGGTTGGTCTGTGTTGCAAGCCTGTCATTTTAGCAGCAAAGCAACTTTAACCAATATCTAATTGAATGAGCACAGCTGTGTTCCAATAAAACTTTATTTAAAAAAAACAAGCAGCAAGCCAAATTTGACCCTAAAGAGTTTAAATAACTGCCTTAAGTGAAGAAACAACTTAGTAAAGCTAAAATATAATAATTCTTCATCCTTAATAGCCCAGCCAGGCTAAATCCTGGTCCAAGCTCTTCCTAATACACTGATTGCCATCACATTTCTGATATAGTTAAGAATAGACTCTAATAATAATTCAACACTCTAATAATAATATTTACATAGCGAATACATTTTTGCTTTAATAAATGATTAAACATAATAGAAAAAAAAAAACCCTGCCCCAGTGAAATTTTCATCACCAAGTAGAAAAGTTCAATAAATAGTTGTCAAAATTAAATATGAAAACATAGCAAAATTAAGTCAGTGTCTTTAGTCTCCCAGAACCCTTAGTTATCACCCCTTCATTTTGTAATTTAAAAACCACTTCCTCATGTTAATGTGTTCTTCCATTCAACAAATAGTTGTAATGACTACCATGTGCCAAGTATTGTTTCTAAGGGTAATTTGAAAATAAGTTAATAAAGGCGGATGCCACATGCTAGACTGCTGTCTAATTGGAGAGATACATGTAAATAACCAGCATGTAAATTACAAAGTAGAAAATGGCAGAGTTGTAGAGTGAACAAGCCTCTTGATAAAACCACCAGGGACAAGTTAGGTAAATTAATCCGCTGCAACAGAGGATCCCAAACCCTACAGGAACCATTTCCCTGAAGGGAAGGATTTATAAGGAGAGAAATTTAGGTAAAATTAAAATGGAGTGTTGCGATAGTTGCAAAAAGGAGTTATCAGCAGGTCAGGTTCAAAACCCAATTATTTCCTTGGAAAGGATGAAGTTAAGATAAATGTGGAATGCTGTATCCCATAGCCTGTTATCTGAAACTGCACCTGGGTGGGAAATAAGGTGCTTCTTTGTGTGAAAGGGACCCTCAGAGCCCAGCTCCTGCAGGAAAGAGTGGACTCTTCCACTCCACTAATAGGATTTCCTACAGCTAAATTCCCGGCCCTCTGTAATATCAGAGCATAAAGTTTCTCAGCACAGAGTCCTTTTTTTATTTGAGAAAATCCATTTTTCCCAGTTCACAAAAGAAGAACAGATTGTCCAAGATCGGTTTGGAGGTTGGAAAGGAGTGGGGAAAGGTCACCTGGAGCAGATGGAATCTTAGATAGTCATATCCATAATGATCTGCATGACAGGGAGTGAGATACCCCGCAGAGCTGAAGTCTACACTTCCACTCTAATCATCCATGCCAAACTTCTAGAGTCATCTTTCAAATCCAAATATACAGCAAACTGCAAATTGACTGATTTGATTTTGTGCCTTTTACCTTTTCTGCCAGATACCTGGAGAAAATAGAGATAAGCCTTAATTGACTCAAAAAGAAAGAAGAAAATTGGAGCTTGGCAGCCACTTAGCCCCAGAAAAATTGAGAATTTACTGAAAAAGGAGGTTTCAAGTCTGCAGGCTAAACAAAACATCCTCCATATTACAAATAAATCACTCCGCAGGGGCAAAATGCAGGCCTTAACAAAGTCTAGCAGAGTTTGTTGTACAGTGATTTGAATCTCAATTGCAGCAAATTTGCTATTTCACTGGATGTGGTAAACATCCACAAGCCCACCACTAAGCCTGAATATATATTGGTCAATTCAGGGAAAAGCTAATTCCCTCAAACCCATGGGCTTGAACTGGGGTTATTATGAAACACTTTACTATTTGGATTGCTGCTTTCTGCCTTTTCCATATAATAAGTGATTCTGATTCATCGCAGAGGTTACCATTAGGTAAAATAATCTTGGCTTTTAGAGGCTAGGTAGTATATGACAAAAGCTGCGGATTTCAGATAATGTACATGTCAGAGTTTTCAGTAGTTTCTCCACTTAAAATAGCCAATGGGGCTTTTCTAATCTAAACCTGCATTACTAGATGAAGCAAAACTGTGTGGCAGAACTAGTAGAGAGCATGTGCATAATGGAGATTCTCTAGACATGATAAATGGTTTGCTTATGGGCTGAAAAGGGGGCCTTAATGCAACTTTCAAAAGTTTACTTTTCAGAATAAAATATATACACTAAGGAAACAACTTGGTGGAATTGGTTAAGGGATCCTAACAATAAGAATATATAGCCTCTACCAAACAAGCTCTCAAAAATGTACTCTCCTTGGTGACATAACTTTAAATCCTCATGCTCCAAGCAAATGTTTTCATCCTTTATTAATTGCAAAGTAAATAAGTCTCTGGCCCTGCTTCCTTTAGCTTTGAAACTTGTCACAGAAATTGGTGTTTAATTATTTATGCCTATGGATCAAGTTAGTTTAATCATCTACCTTTTCCTCCTAGCATCAGCGATCACATGAAGACCCCGCAGCTCTGAAGTTTAGCTTCTATGAAGTGATCTCTGCTGGGCCCCGGGCCCCCTCTGAGCTCAGAGCCTTGCAGAAAAGATGCTTGGTGCCTGGGTGGTATGCCAGCCACATTGAGAGATGGCTTGTTTATTTCCCCCCCTTTCAGGTAGTGAGCAATAATAATTTACACTGTGTTACAATCTCATTAAGTTGATGATTTTGCCTCTAGGATAAATGAAATTTTTACTCATTAAAACATTACTAGCTTTTACTCTGTAGTTGTAAATGAGACTGCTGAAAAGACTAATAAATAAGCCATGGTAGAAAACCCAGTTTTCTTTCTAAAAGTATTTCAGGATAATTCTCTTTGCCCATTTTCTAGTGCATATCTTTCCTGACTGTAAGAGCTTCATAACCCTCATTCTTCTCCTGAGAGTAAACTTGAATCCCTCTTAACCAAAGTAGGCAAATGTTGTTGCTCTTAATTAAGTGCCATTATTTCCCTTCCAACCACCTTCCAGAATTTTTCATAACTACAAAGTTTTTCTTGGCTTCCTGCTTCTCTCATTTGCCCGGCATCAACATAAATTATAAAAATCAGCCCCATCGGGCGTGGTGTCTACCTGTGTGTCTAGATCCTTGCTGTCCAATAGGATAGCTGGTACCACATATCACTATTAAAATTATATAAAATCTCAGTTACATTGGCCACATGTCAAATGCTGGCCCAGACCAAATGGAAATGTTGGAGAAAAGGGGTGAGCAAGAGTTGCCTTGCAGGCTCTATGGCCCTCCCGCTCGCTCACCAAAGTAACAAGCAAGTTCTTCCTGCTGCGGAGGAACTTCTGTCCATGTTCAGGTTCTCTGTGATTCTCACCTTTTTCTCCAAATGGATTACCAAAGTCTTTCTTAAAACTTTGTTGTTTCTCCTTTAAATGGGATCGTGGAGAGCGGCATGTCCTCAGTCCTGTCACACCTGGTGTTCTTATCATCTCTCCTCTTTCAAGGGCTCCTTCCAAGCTAGAATTACCGTTTTGTTGGTTTTTAAGTTTGGTTTCCATAGGTGATTTTGTAGTCACCTGTAAGACCTGTAAGCTCTCTTTGGTGCCCTTAAGTGTTTGTTCGTTTGTTTGTTTGTTGTAGAGTTTACAGGATTTCTCAGATTACAAAACATTAGCAAAATGAAGGATTGTGCTTTATTTTTCATCCTAGGTCATTCATGAGGACGATCTCGTTAAATCTAACAACAGGGGATGGGAATCCCCTCAATACCATAACTCATATTGAATAAATTTAGAATGCAGATTTTTTAATTTTATAGTTATATGGCTTTTTTATAGTGTACTTTATCTTTTTTTAAATTTTCTTTGATAATTTAGTTGCTAATTATTGATGGGCAACAGCTAAGAACTGATCCTGCTACAGTAATGGATGAAGTACAGAAGTTTCTAGGCGTCTCTCCGCATTATAATTACTCAGAAGCTTTAACGTAAGTCTATATTCTAATTAATCTACTGATGGTTCAGCAGAGAATTGGTTTTAAAGAATACATAGTTTGGTGATGTAACTGTTGACTTTGATGGTCCTTAAATACTAATTATTTTCCAATTTGACATCACCACTTGGGGTAGAACAAATCCAACCATGCAGCAAAGAATAGTCTTCAATCCCCCCCTGATTCCTAATCATGAAAGATTCCCCTCAAAGGAAAGTAAAGAAACAAAGCAGTCATAAAAGAATCCACTTAAAATAAGTGCTGAACCTATACAACAAACAATATTGGGAACTCTTGGAAATATAAAGAAGTGACTAACCACATGGTTATGAACCATGATCTGCTCTGCTCTCTGTGGTATGGTTTTCAAAAACAATACCATATGTCAGCAAGCAGCCCAACAGGTGACTGAACAGTGAGAAAGATGTGTTATTATTACTCTTCAACGTACTCCATCTTTTGCTTCTATATCTTTGCCCACTGCTTCTGAATCTGTTACCACTTTCAGAGGCCAGAGCAGTTATAGCTCTGGAAGGTTTTCTTATGTTAGTTCTCTCAGATTTTCTTACACAAGGACTGGGAGAGATATCATAAGCATTAAGCTTTATGGAGAGTGGGTACCTCCTTCACTCCCCTTAATCCTGACTCTGGACTTTATTTAGCATTTTAAATAAAACGTCCCTCTTACTTAGACCTTTTACCAGAGCTGGTAATCAGATTGAGAGGGCTGTGTTGTTACCAGTTTGACATGCACAGAGCGACTGGGAGATGCTGAGCTGGATGACTCTCACTATTTTGTATTTTAAATTTTAGGGTCATAGACCAAGTCTTAAAGAAACTGAAAAAAGACTATTATGTAATTCTTCTATTTCTCAGTATAAAACTTAGTTCTGTCAATAAAATGATGTTCCCTTTTCATTGTACTCTTGATTCTTTAGCAACTTGAGGAAGTGAGAGGCAGGTTTCCTTTATCTTTCAGCATCCCTACAGTAAAAGATGGGTAGAAAAACATCAAATACTGCTTACATCTTGAACAAATCATACATAAAACACATGTAAGAGAGACATTTTGATTTAGAGGACAAAGGAGGAGGTGGAACTCCAGGTTTGCACTTCTTTCCTAAGAGTCCTTTACTTTGTTGTTACTATTAACCCTCTGCCCTCTGCATCCTCTATAGTATAAGCACTATTAGAGCTTTGTAGAGCTTAGTTCAAATCCTAACACAGACACTAGCCTTAGGTATTTAACTTTCAGCTTGACCTTAAAGAAAGCTGAGTGATTTCAGTTTGCAGTTAGAAATTCAAGTCCACTTTCTGCTTTATATCTTTTTAAGCATCTCTTAGAAAAGAAAACTTATTTTCTAAACTGTTTTCTATTTCAAGTTGGCTTATCTTTGAGTCTTTTTTTTATAGAGTATATAGCAAAGTATTGTATTTCAGGGGGAAAAAAAGAAGTGGAGTATTCTATAAAGACATAACCTCTTTTTCTATGGAATGGTCCTTGACCTACATGCTGTGTATTTGCCCCCTTTGTATTCGGCTTGGTAGCAGGCTTTTTCTTCCTCTCCACTGCTGAGAAAAGGTGGTGTAAATAGAAGAGAAGCAACATCAAAGTAACATACTCTATACAGAGAACCCTGGGTCACTTTGTACTTATGATGTATCTGGCTAAAATTACCCATTATATGATTCTCTAGCCTGGGTGGGAGCTCAGTGGGTGAGGTATCAAGATAAGGCATGTGTAATGTCTGAAACTAGCATTTCTGGTCTGCCAGGGCTGCCCAAACTCCCACCCTGCTGCTACAGATAAAAGCACTACCTTTCAGCTTCCTTTTGTGTTTTCTTGTCAATCATCAGTTGGCCTGACATACCTTGTAAAAAACAGCAGTGTGTCTGTTGTAGAATATTTGGCATTTCATGTCAGTGTCTTAGGCCTGAATCTATCCTCTTTCACCCATGCCCTCTGCAGTTGTTCTGAGTTCTCTCCTCATAATCTAGTTATTCTTGTTGGACTAACTGTTCTGACAGTTGTTTCCACAGTACTCTGGGCATGTTGGGGGTGACAGGAATAGAAAAGTATGTTACTGGGGATGTCAGTTATTGCTTCATATCTCTCCTGTTAGTGATACTGAAGATTATGATTTTGGTACTTAAAAAAAATTTCATTTAAAATTGTCTAAAAATGTACTGAATTGCAAACAGATATGAATTCTCAACTAGTATATAAATTCAGATCTTTGTGCATAGAAGAATAAATTAATAAAACAAGCTCTATACCAGGCTCTATAGTATAATCTTGGCATGAATGAGTACTCCAATTTACGAGATCTTCAGCATAAAATATTCCAATTTTATAACTATTTTTAAAAAATAGCCAAAAATTTCCACTGTCAAGTGTTATTTATATCTTTCCACAATTGCTAAAGAAAGTGGTAAAGACTTTGAAATTTCATGCAGTCCCTGGATAGTTTATGATGATGTCTTAAAATTACTTAGAACCATCAGCGTGGATTTTAAATGATGTATTGAATATGTAAAGAAAAAAAATCTGGTTTTCTTAGTGCATGTGAATGTGATCTAAAATGGGCAGTATAAACTTTAAACAATATAAATGGGAACTTTCTCATTTAGCTAAGTAAATTAACACTCTTTCAATATACTCTTAATCTCTAAATTGTAAATAAATTGATATACTGAAGCTATTTTTGCTTGCATGTGTTTTAGAGTATTTTAAAACTGGCCAACAATTTGAGAGGGAAAAAAAAAAAAACAGGCATGGCATTGTACTAATCTGTATAAATTACAATGAAAAATAAAAAGTTTTAATTTTGCCCTGAGTATATCCATTCAGAGTTACACCTGGCCAGCAATGACTATGGCAAAGGTTTTCATATGAAGGAATACAAGTCAGTTAAATACCTGAACCTGATGCCTTTATTTCTTAGTCATTAATCTCTTTATTGAGATGAATAAAACCAGACTGAGCTATATACATTTCTAATACCAATTCACAGTGAAAATGTCAATACATGGGCAATAAGGATTTGAAAACCATGGACTGAACAAAGATTATTTGATGGCTTGGTTTTGTTCTGTGAATGAGGCTAACTAAATCATAAAGAACAAGCACTTTGATTGTTTCTGATAGCACTTCCACTGGCAACCACATTTTTATTGCTCAGGATTTCTTTCCCTTCCCCTTGTAGATGAGTTAGAGGAAAAGCAATGTACCACATTAAAAAAAAAATTTTAGTAGCATACAGTCTCCATAGAAGCTAAAAATCTGTTGGTTTTCCAGATGACCTGTGAAATAGCACCTAGAAATACTAAATAATGTTTTTGAAATGGCTACAATACTTCAAAATCAATATACACTTACATGTTCTATCTTACATATACTACTTCATAACAACACTATGAGCTATCTCATAGCTTCATTTTTTCAGCTTACAACACTGGAACTGGAGTGCATGACAGTGGGGCATGTAACATACACCTCAAGGATGTGGTCCTATATGTCTAACTCATAGTGTTTTAAACCAGTGTTAGCTCAATCAAAAGCAAATAGCTGGGACACAGAAAAGTGCCCTCGTGAACACAAAATAGTATTAACGTCCTTGCCCAGGAGTCTCTTCCAATTATTTCTACATGTCCCTAGATGATATCCACACAAACATTCCTCTCTTCCTCCTTAAAGCAGCAAAGTTTCATTGAATAACTCCTTCATTGTATAACTCTGGGGACACAATTACTAACAAAGTATCCCTATATCTGGGAAGGGTAAGTACAGAGACACTGAAGAGCACCTAAAACTCCCTCCAAAATGTTCACTTCCTGAAAGCCTTTGAGAGAATTCTAACCATGACCTTCGCTGCCAATCCTACATGAAAAAGGTTGTTTCCTTGCTGTTCCACCAGGTGTCGGTAGTACTTTTCAACTATTCTTCAGAAGGACGATGATACTAGAAAAAGATTGAGATCTTTCTCCATCTCCTGTCAGCTTTCTTCACTCAGACCATGAGATAGCACTGATTATGCCCTCAAACTCACAAGGTCACTCCCTCATTAACATAAGTCCCTTCACTTCTACCTTAGGCTACCCGGTAAATAAGCACAATCTACTTTCCTCTCCTTTTTCACCCTGAAACTCATCACTGCCTACTAACTTAAATAGACAGATGCCTAGGTGAGGTGCCAACCACACATATACGCACACACACACTTTTCTCAATAAAGCCCAGCATGATAGTCTGTTGTGTAAGAGCTAATGAAATAGCAGAGAAGAAAAAAATCTTATTCTTTTGATTGCAAATTTTAATATGTATGAAGTTCTGTGTTTCTTAAAAAATATCTGAGAGGACTGCTCATTTTGACATAAGGTATGTGTATGTTCCAGACATATATTTATAGTTAGGTATATTTTTCAAAATAATATAATAACTGGTCTGAATTCTGAATTCTGATCATCTAAATACTTAAAATGAGTCAGAATTCAATTGTGGAAATTGCTAATGACAAAAAGATAATTTAAGTTGAGGTATCAATTGTAGACTTCCAGAAATGCTGTATTAGAGCTGTCCTTCCAGATATGTTGTTGTATTAGAGCTTCCCAGCTTTCACATACAGATATTTAAATAATACAGTATTTACTAATGCTCTCTTTGTACTCTGGATATGAACTTTGTTGCCTTACTGATCTCTGTAAGAATACAAATAACATGAAAACATATCATGTTGTGTCCTGATCTCATACAATTGCTTTAATAATGATTTGAAACAGGCTTTAAATAAGTGGGATGGGAGTAATCCCTTATTATCTCTAATACTCAAAGTAGTAAAGAAGCAGAAATCTAGGTTTCCATTATTTGCAAATGAATAGGTATCAATTTATAAATTAGCTACATCAAGACTTCCTCTAAATTACACACAAAACTACAAACAAACACAATCACAGTTTAATGTTTAAATCAGCTTTATAGGTATAAAATTTATATATAACAGAATCCACCAATTTTAATTGATGAATTTGAACAAACATGTACAATTGTATATACCACTACAGTCAAGATATAAAACATTTCCCTTAATCCAAAAGGCTTGCTCAAACTCCTCTGCAGTCAGTCTTTTTCCCTTTGTCCCTAATCCCTAACATCCACTAATCTACTTCCTTTCATTTAGCATAATGCCTTTAAGATTCCATCATATGGTTACATGTACCAATAATAAGTTCTTTTGCATTAATGATGGATATCAACAGTATACAATATGCATAGACTATGATTCATTTATCCTTTCACCATTTAGAGTCTAATATGAACAAAGCTATTGTGAACATTTTTTTTTTTAAGTTTGGTATTTATTTACTTAAACCAGAACTGGGGTACAGGCCAGATGCGCGGGAGGGTGAGAGGGTTCACCAGAGACAGAGCGGGGAACAGAACAGGCAGACAGATGAAATACACTGCTGAGGGGAGTTGCGAGCGAGACAGGAGAGGTCTGCTGCGCCATGTGGGACCCTTGCTGGCCTGCCCCGATCAAACCAGCACTGCTGCGGGCAGCTTCGCAGTGCTGCGCTCAACGCTCAACCTATGCCACCAGGGAAGGCCCTATTGTGAACATTTTTATGTAGATTGCTGTGTGGGCATACACTTTCATTCCTTTTGGGAAAATACCTAGAAATGAGGTTGGTAGGTCATAAAATAATGTATTTAACTGCATAAAGAAAATTTCCAAAGTGACTATAATTAATTTCAATCAACAAGCTATAAAGGTTCCATTTGTTTCACATCTTTGCCAATATTTGGTGTTACTCTAAACCAAGGCATTGTAGTTAGGATGTGGTGACATTTCATTTGTGATTTTAATTTGCATTTCTTTAATGACCTATGACGTTATGTAAATTTCCATTTATTTATGGGTCATTTGTATATATATTCTTTGATAAAGTATCTGTTCCAAATCTTTTACCAAATTTTTATTGGCTAAAAGATTTGGTCAATACACTTTTTATTGAGTTATATATACTGAATACAAGTCCTTTACTAGATATATACTTTGCTAATATTTTGGCCTAATGTGTGGCTTCCCTTTTCATTTAAGTGTCTCTAGAGAAGCAAGCTTCAAATTTTGAGGTATTCGTACTTACTGTTTTTTTCATTTATTGTTCATTCTGTGAAATATTTCCCTAATCTAAGGTTACATAAACTTTGTTTTCCTATATTTAGTTCCAAAATTAGTATGGTTTTGTCTCTTAGGTTTATGTCTATGATAGATTTAAGTTCATTTTTTAAATACAGTATACATTAATGATAAATGTTAATTTTTTTCCATATATTATATCCAATTCTCCAGTTCAATTTGCTTAAAAGACTGTAGTCTCCTATCTAATTACCCTGGAACTTATTTTTGAAAATCAGTTGACCATACTTGATCTACTTCTGGACACAATTTTTCCTTTGATCCATTAGTGCCACTACTACATATCCTTGATTATTATAGAATTAGAGTAAATCTTGAAATTAAACAGTATACTTTGCTCTTCATTTTTTAAACTGTCTAGGTCTTTTGTATTTCTACATATTATTATCTTTTCAATTTTGACCAAAAAAGAAATCCCACTAGAGTTTAGATTGGAATCACGTGGAATCTATAGATAAATCTAGAGAGCTGATATCTTAAAATATTTAGACTTCTGATCTATAAACATGGTACATCTGTCTTCTATAACTCTTAGCAAATTTTGTGATTCTCAGTGTGCAAATCTTACACATCTTTTGTGTTAAATTTATCCCTCAGTATTTCATGTTTTATGCTGTTTTTTTAATTTTGGCTCACTCTATAATTTTAAGCAGAATTAGAAGCAGTATTCTGAATATTGTTTAATATCCAAAGAAGGAAATGGCCCTAAATGACACTTCTTTCTAATGAAGAAGAAATTATAGCAGTAGAATCACTGAATAACAAAAGCAATGTGAAAGAATTATACTGATAACTATAACTTTCACTTTTATATGCAAGCACAGAAATTACTAGTTATTCACAATGAGTGATAATACAGAAAATATCCAGAGACCACAGAAGAAAGGCCCTGGATTCACAATGATGAATTGAGTCATGTCCTGCATACTAAAAAGTATATAATCCAAGATAAATAAACCTTACAAAGTCCTTCTTTTTCATGTATTATTCAACTGACATTTGGAGAGTGTTCTCAAAGAGCCAACTACTATACTAAATGTTAAAAAATGGGAAGAATCCTGCACCATCTATCATTAAGGGCTTATAATGTAAACTCACATAAAAATTATATTAAATATTTGGCTAAACAAAAATATAAATTTAATGTGCTATTATTTTGATTGTAGTTATATAATGAAAATTAATATTTATAAGTGCTGTTACTTTAAAACAGAGCTCAAACCAAGAGAAGAATGTGGCTTTGGGAAAAAAAATTAATGGATTGTAAGTAGAGAATTCTAAAATTAATAACTCCATAGCACAGCAAAACCCTTTCTCTTCTATTACCCTGTAACTGTATGATACAAATACTATGTAAATGCATAGATATGGATGAAGCCTGGCTTATGATATTTAAATCCTACAAAGGGAAAGCATGTGCTTGAAACTTAGAAAAAAAACTCCTTCCAGATGAAGTAGGCTTATTAATTTCTATTAATAGGAGACCTTCTGCTGACAATTTTTCTATTAGGTATCTGGCAAATTCACAAATATGACAGATGGACTGAGATTTCAGAAGGATGCCAAAAGACTTTATGCAAAGGGATATAGTCAAAAATGCTAGTTTCCCTGGTTATATAATTGATATTCAAAAAATATCATGCTTTTGCTCATTATATCTTATAAATAGCTTGAAAAATGCTTTTTAGTTTTTGTATTTTGTATTTTTTTAGGTTTGATTCTCACAAAGGTTTCTGGTGTCAGTTACTGGAAGAAGGTAAAACGAAATGCCTCGGGAAGAGCAAAGGAAGAAAATACCCTCCAATGGATCCTGACGTAAGCATAGCACTTAAAGTTACAAACTAAGCAAAGTGACAATAATATACCTATTTTCTTAGAAAAGTGGCTAAAATCAAAATGCAGCTTTTCTAAAAATTAAATGTGACATTGAGATTTCAATACAACCAGGTTGCTTATTTTGATTTTTCCAATGATATATTACCTGTCATACAAGAATAAGGGAAAAACAATAGAATTTGCCATTTTGAATCAGAACAAAGAAGGCAAAATCTCATTTCAAAAAGAATAATATATTCATGGAGATTTTAGTACTAAAAATGTTAACTGAAACCAAGAAAGGAGATATATTAAATGGAAACTGAAAATAGGATCAAAAGATTTCTAATTTTTTCCCACTAAGTCATTCTATCTTAAGTGTGGCATGCATAATAATAGTAATTATTGGTAAATTGAGCTTTGAACTGCTGATATGCTGATAAGATAAAAGAATATATTTTCCAAATGTCTGATACAGAGCAAATAATGAAGGCTCTGGAGAATAAGATGCATTTTTTTGAGGTATCTAGCACCCCTAGTTCATTCTCTTCAGAATGGGGACAGGGAAGTCTCCATGTGCTGTAGTCTCTCAGTTTATTAAACCCAATCTTTTCCCTTAATGGGATTTTATGTCTGTTAAGATTTATTAATTTTATTCTGATTTCATAACCAATCCAATCTGTGTATAATTTAGACACATGAGTGCAAGTATGTTATTTGTAAAAGAAAAAAAAAACTAACTCAGAAGTTAAAAACATGATTTAGGATGTTTTTCCTATAGTGTTGTACACATTTTAACTAAGAGTCCATAGTGTCTAAGAATTCTGAGAGTCTGAAGTCACTTGAATTTTGACTGAATCCTTGAATACTATGGGGCCATTATTTTTATTTCAACCAAGATAAGACCTGCCCTCACTAATTTCATAATTAAATTCTACCTGAAAGTCATTGGGTGCAGGGTGGGTGTTATTCCTGATGTCTTGATAAATTAATTTCTTTGGTTGATTATTTAAAATATTCTTTCAGAGCACTATGAAATCAATCCTCACACTTGAATAGAAATCTGAGAGCAATTTCCAGGTGTTTCAAGAAATTATAAAGTATATCATTTTTATTTACATCAAAGCTACATCTCTATATATCTATTAAAGTTAAAATATTTAAAAGACACTAATATCTCTCTTTTCTAACATTTTATTTTACTCCCATCAAAGACAGACATACTGATACATAATAAATTTAGTGATAGACAAATATAAGAAAAACAGGTTAAAATTACAGTAAATGTTAGTATTAGGATACTAATATTTCCACATCCAACACTAAGCAAGATTGTGGTGTAAGATGTTCCTAAGGCATATTTTTATCCAGATACTGATACCAAATGGATGGGTTTTACACACCAGGGAGCTTTCCAGTTTTCTGCAAACACCAGCTAGGCATCCTGAAGTTCGATTCAATTCTGACACTAACCACATAGAGTTATCACAGACCCCACAGGTTAAGGGCTCAGTCCTGCAAGACTACTACCCACCCATTTCAGACTCCAGTAGCAAGTGATGCGTTCCCAGGTGACTCGTATTTCTGTACAACTTAGCTACAAAACTAGGGATCCCAAGACCCCTCTTCAAGTTCCATAATTTGCAACAAGAGTTCACAGAACCCTGGGAAACACTTTACATTATTGTAAAAGACACAGATGGACAGGTCTGTGCCTGTGTAAAAGGCACAGATGGACAGCCTGGTACATAGGACAAGACCAGATGGTCCTGAACAGAGGAGCTTGCTCTATGCAGTGTGGTGTGTACCACACTCCCAGCACAAGGATATATTCACCAACCCATTAGAGCCCCAAATTCCTTAAGTTAGGGGTTTTATAGACATTCCATTATGTAGGTATGATTTATTAAATCATTGGCCTTGAAAATTGGCTCAATTCATATTCCCTCTTCCCTTCCCATAGGTCAGAAGGTAGGGTTGAAAGTTCCAATCCTCTAGGGATACCTTTGGTTCCGCTAGCAAGCATTCCCATCAGAAGCTATGAAGCACCCACCAAGAGTCACATCATTAGCATAATCTCAGGTATAGTTTAAAAGGGATTGTGATGCTGTAGAAAGGACACTTCCAATCCATCACTCAGAAAATTTCAAGGGCTTTAGGAGCTTTGTACCGGGGAAGACTAAATATATTTCTTATCACAGTATCATATAAGTACTGAGTTGTGTTCAGAGAATAGAGTGGCCGATTATGCACAACAGTGCCAGTAGGAGACAAGAATAAGGAGGCTTCCTAGAGATGATAGAAACACAAGTGTGTAGAATAAATTAGGGTAAACAAACAGTAAGCCCCTAGGCTGCTTGCTTCTCCTCCACCCACAGAAAAATGTGAGTATCCCTCCTCAGGACTCTCACCAAATCATTACAGAGTACAGGTAATCCTGGTGAATCAAGACTGTTTTAAGTCTGATTCCATTTTGACATTGTTCATCAAAATATAGAAAAGGAACAAAAACTTATACTTTAAAATGAGTATTTTTAATGGTATTTTTGCATGAACACCGCTAACTCTATTATGTTTCCAAATCAAAAGAATATAAAGTCTTTATATCAAAAGAATATAAAAATCAAAAGAATATAAAGAATATAAAGTGGCCTAGGGCGATTAAGTCTCAGCACTATCACTGCGGTGACCTGCATTTGATCCCCGACCAGGGAGCTAACCCACATATGGCGCAGCAGACCTTTCCTGTCATGCCTGCTGCCCCCCTCAGCAGTGTATTTCAGTAGATCTGCCTGTTCTGCTCCCCACTCTGTCTCTGGTAAATCCTCTCACCCCTCACACCTCTGGCCTACACCCCAGTTCTTCTATGCAAAAAAAAAAAAAAAACTAAAAAAAAGAATATAAAGTCATAAAATCTTTAATAACTGATCAATAAACAACTTGATATTGGATTTATTATGATTCCTTTTAAATAACATTTCTATATTATAAAAGTACATATTATGTTGTTATTATACTCATAATATCACCATGTGATGCATGAAGAAGTTTAGCTACATTAGATACATTAGCATCCATTTTATCTGTGATTTTTATCATCTAAAAAATTACCCCTTCTGAATGATCACCAGGTAACAATGTGCACAAAATAAAACTCAGTGCATACCACTGAGTTCTGTTCTAATAACTTTTGGCCTGAGAATATTATATTCTCAAATAGGATATGGTATACTTTGCACCTCCTATCAGTTATCTTTCCATATCAAGAGCACAATAGGAGGAAGGAAGGCACACTTGGTTATGGGACCACCAAGAAGAACCAGGTTAAAGTGACACACATACACTCACAATAAGGCACAGGGGAAGGGTTTGATTATAGAGCCAGCACTGATAATAGGAACCAGGTTTGCAAACAGTGTCCTAAGAGGCCAACAAAGTTCAGGGACAGTTAAGATAATCTTTAAGTATCAGGAGGTTTGATCCAAACACCAAAGGGATAGGCAGCAGAAGAGGATCCCAAGAGATTCCATTCTGAAGGTGATAAGACATTATGAAGGTGAATATGGACAAATATTCACTATATGGGAAATATTAGGGAGCGAGTGGGCAGGAGCTGGGTGGCTCCATACTGCTCTTGTTGCAAGCAGATTTCAGGCACACAGAGGAACAAAGCAGAGTGAAAGAACATGATAGGAAAGTGCAGAAATCCGTACTCTAACCCCAGACATAGGGCTCACCCAGGTCTAGCTGACAGCAGAGAAAATGGAATAACCAGGCTCCCAGATGTAACTATAATGAACTTCCACCTTCCTCGGACATGAGTATGCTCGCTGGTCCTGTCAGGGTTCAGAGAAGCCCCAAACCAGAGTAATGAGATAGACTGACACAGAAACCACACAGATTTGGGCTCTTCTTGATCATGTTAGTGGGTAGACTGGGGCTCAAGTGTTCAGGCTAAGTCCATTAATTCTAACTACCGCCCAAAAAATGATGCTACATGGGAATTAATCAACAGAAAATGAGGGTTCGCCCCCTACTCCTGTATGGCATATAAAATGGAATGCCATATATGACATTTGAAAAGAATAGCACAGGTGTTAAATACTTTTTAAAGGTTCAAATCAATTTTAAAAATCTCAGAATAGTATATAACTAGGAAATGTTATTAATAGAAACAGATGCAGAAATACTCTTCAGAACAACTCTTAACAGCTGTCATCCAGACTAAGCACTGTAAGTCCTCACTTAATGTCATAGACGGATTCTTAGAAACTGAGACTTCCAGTGAAACAATGTATAATGAAAACAGGTCCTCAAATGACAATTGTTTTGTTCAATGTCAGTAAGATTTATTTTTTTCTCATCAATGTCATAACAAAATCCACTGAACAAAATGATGTGACTCAAGGACCTGCTGTATAAACTAAATACCATCTTGCATTACAGCCCTTTCCATTTTAGATAATTTTAATTATTTTTTTAATTGAAGGGAAGTCCACCTCCTTTTAAGTCAGACATGCTTTTCCTTCCTTGAGTCAAATAACACAAATATAATAAGCTGTAGGTTTATGTGGTTTAACTACGGCAATTTTTAAGGCTTATACAATAGTTTTTACAGTGAATACTGCATCTATTCCTTAGGAAATCTCTCAAGAAAGCATTCAAAATCTAATGGTGACAGAGAAGTATTTTATATTATATATTTATCAAACTTTCTCCAAAGCTAGGATGATTAATAGAGTATAGTAATAGACCCAATCAGTGTCACAGTTGTATTTCTAGTACCTCAAATTACTTTCACATTTAATTCTGCATAATCAAAGAAATCACAGTTACCCTAGTTAAAAGTGTATGTCTGTGTGATGTGTATTTTGCAGGACAGATTCATTGTCTTTATGTTGTGCTAAACAGTACATATGTTGAGCATCAATTTTATCTCGCTATGGAATGTTTGATATGAACTTAAATATAATCAAAATATATAAAATTTGCTTCAATAAGCAAAAAAAAAAAAATGTACTTTTTCTTCTTCCCATCTCAGAGCAGAGCATTTCTGTCAGGCTACTACCGAGACCATAATGTGGAACTGTCCAAGCTACTGCACCGACTGGGGCAGCCTCTGCCTTCCTGGCTGAGACAGGAGCTGCAGAAAGTGAGATAGCACCAGAGACAAATTCCTCAGAACCATCCTCCACAGGATACTCACCTTTCCTAAAACTTCAAGAAACTGCCAAAAAGTTGTTTAAAAATATACCTCTTCAGATGAGAAAAAAAAAAAAAAAGTTCCTTCCATGTGCTGGCATGTGGATGATCAGAAAAAAAAAGAAAAAGAATCTGTTACAAGCCTTGAGGCCACTGGCCTTTCTCTTATCCCGTGTCTGGGCCTGTGGGACTATTGGAGACTACTGTGCACTCATGTGGAGTCAACAGCTACCAATACAGATATCAAACACAAACACAGAACTGTTCCATTTCGTAGTGATATGTACACTTTTGTAGATCAACTAAGATTGTGTCTCTGTAAATTTTAGACCGCTGTTTGCCTGTACAATGTTTTCATACTCTTTGATTTTATAAAGTGTCCTATAAAAAAAGAAGCAAAAGAACCATCACAACGTAGCAAAATGCCAAATGCATATTACCTATGAAAAATGCTTGCCAAAATAGAAATCCATTGATGTATTTATGAAGATTGTAAATTACAATTTGTACTAAATCAGAGAGTAGAGAAGTTATATATGAGGTTATCTTCATCCTTAAAGTAATTTTTCATACACAGTCTCATGCGTTATGTAAAAATTACTAATTCCTCTATCATAATTGTTACACTGAAATATCTACTGTGAAGCTGTTGTGTGGTAAAAAGAAACTCAATGAGTTTACCAAAACATGTGAAGGGTACGGAATACATCTTCTAAAAGGGAGAAATTTTTGGGGTCTTAAGAGCTGTCACCAATGACTTGGGTCCCCTTTCAGCAAGGGCAAATCCACTCCAGCCATTCTTTCCTCATTGGTTCCACAGAAACACACAGAATCTGGTAACTGTGGCATCTGTGGCAAACAGACTGATTTTTAAATGCAAATAGTTCTTTTTTAATATCCCCCAGAATAAAACCCATGAAGCGAAAATTAAGGAAAATTTCTCTAGATGATATGATAGGATATATACATTTAAATTATAGAAAATTTTTTGCAGAGTTCAAAGTGAAATTGCATAATGTAGAAATTTATAAAAAAACAAATTAATATATGATTTTTAAACTGATATTTACATCAATACTTTTAATACAAGGCAAAAAAACAAGCAGTGCTGATTCCATTGTTTTGGGATATTTCATACATCACTCTCATTAAAGGATAATAGAACACAGTTGAATTTATGGATTATCTACTGAATAAATGGAGGAAGTACAAACATGAGCCAGGCATGGTTTTTAAAATATATACACACCTAAATTTGAAATGATTATAAGATTAATAAAGTATTCACATAAGAAAACAAGTCACACTCATTTATTATATTTATATTTACTTAATTTTTAAATGTACACATATTTTTAGTAAATAAATTCTCTATGATTACATAAGCCTCTATAAAATATTATCAAAATTATTATTAGAAAAAGAGATATGCAAAGAAAATCTATAGCCTAAATAATTTCAGTCATTACATTGTGTGAAACTAAATTCTATCAATTATTCACCAATGAGAAAATAAATTTCCACTTACTATAAATTTTTTAATTATAATTGATTAAATTTTTTTAAATTTTACATGCCCATATGATACAGTAATTTTTAAACAAACTATTAAAATAAAGAATTGGAGGGGGAAAAATAGTTTTTAAGACTCTTAACTATAAAAGCAAAATCAAATTCATCTGGATGAATGTTAAACTTGGTCCACAAGCTTAGTGCAAGACTTTCTAATGCAGTACATACCCTTCATGCTAGAAAAATAATCCCAGTCTTTCATCTCCACTGACTGAGAAATTGGTTTAAGAAGGTCAGGCACTGAGAACAGACCCCACCAGTTTCATACGGCATCATAATTTCATTTTGATAATAAAATGTCTACTAATAAAAGAAAGAAAACAGATACATTTATGTTTTAATGATATATATGCATTTAGACTTCTAAACAAAGTTACTGTGGCTGCTTTGTCTAGGTAAATTGAGTCAACTAAACAGCTCACCTTTAAAATAAATATTAAAATATATTGGATGCTTGTATAATGAAAGGAGGAAAAATAAGACATACCCAAATGTACCCACTCACAATACAGGTATTCTGCTACGTGGAGGCAACATTAAATCCTAGAGGACATGCATACTTTCTACATTATATTCTCCGGCTGGCTATTATGGTATTCTGAAAGTAACATAAATACACATGAGAAATGAATGAGAGATAATGTGATTTGAAACTAGCTTTGTACAGAATTCCTTTTTCATTGCTTAAAACATGAAACTTCCTCAGGAAGAAAGGAAATGGTTATTTCAATGTTTATAGCTATAATATTCTTGTCATTCACATTGAATGAAAATTACTGGAAACATTTTTTTCTCTGAGTTTTTTAAAATAAAAACCTGAATAAAATTCTGATAGTAGCATGGTACCTCATATGTACAACAATAAACTGTGATTTAAAAAAAAATTAAGAGTTTGGGCCTAGTGATTGTAAGTATTTGATTTCTTTTGTCTGGTACAGAGTAGGAGTTGTTTATAGAACATGGATGACACTAATATCATTCAAAATGGAGTGGTGCACAGAAAACTTCCTAGTAGAAAGTTAGGGTACTTTTTTAAAATGATAATACTATTCATAGATTCTTCTAATCAATGTTAGTAGTATTTTTTTTTTAATGGATATAAAGCAGTTTGTAGGGTCATTCAGGGGACCCTAGACTAAGAATCAAAACTGCACAGCCATTACTTAACAGACTTGAAAACTTGAGTGATTACAGCATTTCTTACTCCTGATACTCCTCAGCTCCCCACAAATGCGCTCCTTTCTTTCTTTAGCGCTTTTAAAGGCACTATATATATATATATATATATATAAAATAATAAAAATCTACTATATATATTTTAAAGATTTATTTGTTTATACAAGAACAGGGTACAGGCCAGAGGTGTGGGAGGGTGAGAGAATTCACCAGAGACAGAGTGGGGAGCAGAACAGGCAGATGACCAAAAACACTGCTAAGGGGAACAGCAGGCAAGACAGGAGAGGTCTGCCACGCCATGTGGGTATCTCCCTAGCCAGCGGGGATCGAACCTGCACTGCAAAGGTTGCGGACAGCTTCACAGCACTGTGTGCAACCCACTTTACCACTGGGGAGGCCCTACTATATATATATATAGTAAATATAGTATATATATATATATATATTTATTTATTTATTTATAAAAAATATATTTATAAAAACCTGTAATTTTGCAAGAAAGATATATATTGACAGTTTCAGTAGATACTCAGTAAAATTTCTTTTCTCTGTGCCAGTCCCTCTCGTTTCTAGATAACATATTTTCTCATGTTCCAACCCATCCAGTTTAGTGCACCAACTGATTCCCCATGGACTTGCCTCTTACACACATGCAATTATCTAATCTGGAATGCATCTGACCCCAATTTTCTATCTCAATATGTCATCCTCTACTCCATCCAGCCCAGCACAAAGCAATCCCATCAATATGATGTATTTATATACTTTTTCATAGATACGCTTCCTATAGATATCAGCACTGCAATCTCTAGGAGATATATTTTAGCACCAGAATCACAATAGGGAGGCACAAAATGACTCAATTATTCCATACGAAGGCATTTAATTTCAAATTATACTCTTAGTTCTAGTCTGCCAACAGTGACTCTGCTTGGTTCCCACCTACAACATAGCTGCAGCCTTCTTCCCTCCCACCCAGCACATCCACATCCACCCATACCCAAATACCTGGTAGTAGTGGGAAGTGCAATGAGCACTGGTGGTGGATAATCCTTAAGGAATTATTTCTGTGTTGGCTTGAAGTACCACCTTTCCCTTAAAACTAGTCATAAATTTGACATTTGAGGATAAAAGCTAGACACAGTGTGACAGTGACTCTGTTCCCCCCGACCAAAATTTAGAATCTACTTTGAGTAAGCTGCTCACCTGTGGCTGATGGTACCCAATAGAATTTGGGGCTACTCCCCCACATAAAGTGCTACTATTAGTTATTGTACTACAGTTTATTGTCCTCAATTTGTTATCAATAAGTGCTCTACATATTCAATGACCTTAACAAATAACACAAAGTACAATTTGACTAATTAGTGTACAAAATTAACTTTTTAAATCACCCTTGTACCTTCTTCCATTAATCCTGCAACTACCTTATTTTTTTTTTGTTTCTATCATTTCTCATTCTGTTCACAAAGTTACAACTACAAAAATTAATAAATCACTAAAATTGAAAGTACATCTTCATCATCCCTTAGACAAAGAAGTATCATGAATAGTATCAACAGTATTAAGGAAGACATCCACTTGCGAGATTCATGTCAAATATTTCATCTGCATACCAATCCCTTTTTTCAAGGAAATCAAAGCAAGTTCCACAGATTAAATACTCACAACATAAAGTCTCCAAGATATTGTTAGGAAGAATGTATTTGCCCACAGTTTATCATACAGAAAATGGAATTAAACTGAGTAAAATGTGAAACATTTCCAAGCACACAGACTTTGTGACAAATCTTACATAAAACTGTCTATATCAAGCTGTTTCTTGGTTATGAGAGAATAAATTAAGAGCAGGAAATGCCTGCTGTCTACACTGCTGATGCCAAAATGCTCTAGTTCAAATCAATAATGAGATGGAAACCAGATCTTGCTCTTAAATAGCATGCATAACTTATACAGTTCGAACACAGAAGATTGGTCATCTCCTGTATTTGGTAAATATTCTGAATATGATTTTTTTCAGTTTCAACTACTTTCAACAGAAAAGCAAGTTCAACATACTACATACGCTTATGGAGTTAGTCTAACTTTTAAGAACTTAATTTATGCCTTTCAAAGTAAAAAAAAAACTTTTAAAGGCCCACAAAACAACATACTATTAAAAAATAAAGCTTATACTACACATGAATAAACATGCAAACTTAAGAAATTAAAAAAATATAATTCTGAAAACTATGAAACATAATATTGATAAATGTTCATCCCATAAACCTGAGAAAAACCATCTTATTTCTATCCTATATTAATTATAGGAATGTCCTCAACAAAACAGAATAGCAAAGAAGATAAATTGAACTATAGTAGTCCAATATCTATTCTTAACTAAATGGCATTAGGCAGGTTAATTTGCTCTTTTAGACCCCAGCCATGAATGGAAGAAGTCAAATGTGATCATTGGTAACTGTTTCTCCCCTGTTTTATTTTATCATCAGTTATTGTCACATTTGACTCTCCCTGTCACTAACACATTCTGTCATAGTTTAGGAGCCATGAATAATCAAGATGGTAAACTGAAAGCCAACTCTGGGCTTCAGGAGTTCAACTTCTCCTACCTCATTTCTCTTTGGAGAAATAAGGGTAAGTTTAGCAAAAATCTATTTTCATATTTTTTAAACCATAAACATAACAAGAGTAGAAACAAAAATATCAATGTATGTCAAAATTAGGAAGATGAGCAAGAGGGTAAACGAGAAACAATCATGTAAATGAGTTAAATGTCTCATCCTTCATGTGTGAAGCCAACAGACACTGCTTAAAGTTGACAAACGAAGAAATGAAGGTAAGAGACTATCAGAATTTACAAATATAATCAATAGAGCATCAATAAAATGGTAAAAGGAAATTTACCTTCGATAAATGGGGCTAAAATGTAGCACTGAGGAAGAAATACTTGAAAATGTATAGCCAAGCGCATTACTACTTTTTATAACAATAATAGCAATAATAATTCGTCATTTAAAAAATAAGTCAAGGGGCCTCCCCAGTGGCGCAGCAGGTTGAGCGCAGGGCTGTGAAGCTGTCCACAGCCTCTGCAGTGCCGGTTAAACTCCCGGCTAGCATGGCGCGGCAGACCTCTCCTGTCTTGCCTGCTGTTCCCCTCAGCAGTATTCTCGGTCATCTGCCTGTTCTGTTCCCCTCTCTGGCTCTGGTGAATCCTCTCACCCTCCCGCACCTTTGGCCTGGGAAAAAGGCAACAAATATAAGAACCAGCTGACTTTACCATCAGAGGCTGGATGTTATTCAGAAACTGACTCTGTCCTAGAGAAGAGTCTTCTTATATTCCAGTGTAACAAATACTTATATTACAGTATAGTTTGTAAACCCCTTGTGGAGCCTAGTTCCCTTCAAGGGACTTATAGGTCAAAGCTATTTTCATAGTAATACTAATCTAATACAGATACCTTTGTCATTGTGTTGGTATTTTCATTAATTTTTTTTCAATAGCAGTAATGGATAAAACTGCTGATGCTCTGACCTAAATCAAGGCAGCTACATCCACCTGCTGTAGTAGTCTTTGCATTCTTTGCCATTACACACACATTTTCAAACATCACTCCACATAAGAATATCCTCAATTGATGAAGCAGGAAAAGTTATTATTACTTAATTTCAAACCCTGTGTGCCTACCTTTTCAACATTCTCTGTGACGAAACTGAACTGTGCCCAGATCATTTCTGTTACACACTGAAATACACAGTTGTCCAAGGAAAAGCACTTGAACAATTGTTTGAGTTGCAAGTTAAAGTAACTGCTTCATTTGTGGAATCTCATTTTTTTAAAGATTTATCTATCTATCTATCTATCTATCTATCTATCTATCTATCTATCTATCTATTTATACAAGCACTGGGTACAGTCAGAAGCGCGGGAGGGTGAGAGAATTCACCAGAGCCAGAGCAGGAAACAGAACAGACAGACTGATGAAATTCACTGCTGAGGGGAGCAGCGGGCGCGGTAGGAAAGGTCTGCGTGCCATGTGGGACCCTCGCCGGCCGCCGGGGATCGTACCAGCGTTGCAGAGGCTGCAGGCAGCTTCACAGCCCAGGGCTCAACCACTGCGCCACTGGGAGGCCCGGAACATCATTTTTATTTGAAAGAATGACTGACAAACAACCATAGTTTTTTAGACTAGTGATAGCAGACATTTTTTTGAAAATGAGCAAAGTAAACCTGTCAAAAATAAATGACACTATTTATCACCAATGATAAAATTTGAGCTTTTGAGTTAAAATTGTAATTCTGTAGAACTTGTAACTGCTACTGGAAGTTTAACAGCATACTAATATTTAAAGACTTTTTCTGATTATATTGATTATATTGACAAATATGATTTTCTAACGTTATATGACATGTATCAGCATATGGAAGATCTATGTAACTCAGTGAACCAAGAGAGCAAGACATGAGATCACAAAATTATTATAATGGTAAAAGATCCATTCTTAGCACAAAATAAATACTTCATGACATAGCAGAGTATGAAATGTTCATTATTTCATTTTCAGATTTCACATTACAAATAGCTTTTAACAAAATACCACTTGTTAAGGTTTTGTGTAGTAGTATCAAAGAAAAATATCCACAATTATCTGAAAAGGATGTGTCTTGTGTGTTGTGTAAATGTGTATACACATACTTTCCACTGCCCAATACCTACCTATGTGAGGTCAGATTTTCTTCATATACTTCAACAAGAACAACAAAATGCCATAATAGACAATACTAAAATAGATATAAAAATCTAACTCTCTTCTATTGAGTCAAACTTTACAGAGATTGGCCCCCAAAAAGTAACACAACAGCATTCTCACTGACTTTGTCTTGGAAAACAGTTGTTTTTTTTTTTTTTTTTTTTTCACTAAAACTATGATTTTACTATGGGTTTGGTCTTATTAGATGTAATTAAAATTTTTAGTTCTTCAATTTAAATTTCTAATCCAGTAATTATTAAGCACTATAACCCTTATAAACAAAAGTTCTTTGGGGTCTTCTGCAATTTTGAAGAGTGTAAAGGAATTCTGAAATCAAAAAGTATGATCCATTGGCACAGGATTTGGAAGTAATTTAAGTACCAAAAGCCAAAGTTTACAACATAAACAACAGGTAGAAAAAATATAGACTGAAATCCAGACCATACCTATCACCTTCCCATGCTGCTCTCAGACTGGAAGTTCCTGGCTGAAGATGAACAATACGGGGAAGGGAGAAAAGAGGAACGCATGAGTATGAGTGTCTCGTTCCTCAGCCTTTCTCCTTGTCACCAAACTGAGTCCTGAAAATGAAAGGATAAGAGATCTTCAAGAAAGACAATCCAAAAATTTTAAAAGCTGTGTCCTACTTTCCATCTAAAACTATGCAAAGCAGCAACCTCCTCTGTGTGCTCTGCCCACTAAGTTGTGGGAGCAAAATAGCAGAAATATATATATATATATATATATATATATACAAAATTATATTTAAGGATATATTGCTTAAGATGACACCAGTTCCACTAGGGTACAAGAAAACCACAAAAGTTCCCATTCTTCAGGGAAGCTGCAGAAATCCTTAAAAATAGGCTTTTAGATTCAAAGGGACAGAAGGATACCTAATGTGCAGCACAGACTGATGACTAAAGGAATGCTAACCATGGAAGCTAGAGGCACTTACAATATCATCCTTGAGAGATTTCATCCAGTGCCAGCAGAGGGCCTAGATGGCTGGGGCCTACATTTCACCCTCTCACCTCATGTCAATTATTGTGACTACCTGGGAAGAAATAGAAAGAAGGTTCTTGAATTTTATAGGAGATGGGGACAGTTATTCAAAACTAAAGGAAGCTATACTTCTGCACAGGTTGTGGTCATGGAATCATGGAATCTATACCCAAGTCCCATTAGCAACAATAGACAGTCATAGAAAAAAAAAAAAGCAAACAGCCAGTATTAAGACTATTGATAGACTTAACAATTAAGAAGAGCTAAGAATAGACATAGTGATGGGGAGGCCTGAGTCTGCAGACAAGTACATTTGCAGACTTTGTTCCTCCAAAATCATCTGTTCCATCCTATCATGGATACACTAAGCACCATGCTCTTGTACACACCTGCCTTGTATATGGTGGTGGAGCCTGCGAAAATGAGAGGAGAGTCACCCTCTTTATTAGCATACCCCACAATGAATCTGTCAAGAAATCTTATTTTCTCTATCTTCAATTCTACCCCAAATGAAATGCTTCTCGCCAATCCCAAGGCTGCCATGCTATAATTGAGATAATATCAAGTCTATTGGGGACTCTTTCCTATTTCCATCCTGCCCATATTACCTACTGCTAATCCAACTCTGACATTTTATTTGGGTCTTTCCTCGAAAGTCATCTTTTTTAAAAAGTCAGCCTCCAACTCCACCTTATATAAAATTTCATCTTTCCTTCCATCCCTTGCATTCCTGATTCCCTGATATAATTTAACCAGAGAGCCCAAAATATTAGACTTAATTGTGTAATACACTCATTTGATTACATCTCCTCTTTTCTCACTCAGTAAGCTTCTTGAAGGCATGACTATACCTGACTGTTTTCTTTCATCAATGTGCCCCCCGAGTTGTATCTACTTTGACACATAGTAGATGCTCAAGAAATACCTGAACAAATTAATTTTGTAATAAGTAACTAGGGAAGGTAGAAATGCAAAAGGTGACAGTTTTAAGACTGCATATTTTCTTATATCTAAGTGTTAGAAAAAAAACTTTTTTGCAAAGCAATACATTTGCTTAAGAAAGATACATATATTTCCCCAATAATAAGGATTCACAACTCAATTTTTTTTTCTAAATAAAAAGAAACAGATTCAGAGTTTAACAAGTTTCTAACAAAGAATTAAAATTAGCAAAATCAGGGCCTCCCTGGTGGCGCAAGGGGTTAAGCACCACACTATGATGCAATCCACAGCCTCTGCAGCACAAGTTCGATCTCCTGGCCAGGGAACTACCCACATGACGCAGCAGACCTCTCCTGACTCGCCCACTGCTCCCCTTAGCAGTGTATTTCAGTCAGTCTGTCGGTACTGTTCTCCATTCTGTCTCTGGTGAATCCTCTCACCCCCCACATCTCTGGCCTATACCCCAGCTCTTGTATGCATAAATAAATAAATCTTTAAAAATAAAATTAGCAAAATCAATTTTAAATATAAGACAAAAAACTATAACCTTTAAATACTGGTTTCTATTTACCAGATCATTCTTACAAATGATCCTAAGAATACTGAAAGAAAGATACTGCTAGTTTCCTTTGATAAAATGAAGTAACAGGCCAACAATTTTACAATTCAGTCCACATTTACATTTATCTCATATATTATATCATTCCATTCCCTTTACAACACAACACCAACAAAGGATGTGGGCTCTGAGTCACTTAAACTACACTCAATCCCAGATATAACCTTTTTTCTCTGTGTCCCAATTTAAACCTCTGTTAAATGGTGTTTTTTTGTTTTTTTGTTTTAATTTTAATTTTTTTATTTTTATATTCCCCAAACAATTGCAACCCCTTTATTTTGACCCCAATCCCTCCTCCCCCGCCCCCCTCCCCTCATAAAGTGTCTCTGGTTCATAGTTGTTTGTTGATTATGATTTTCACTTTCTTATAGATATTCATTTTCCTGGTCCCTTATTTAAGTTTTCTAGATTCCTGCTATGAGTGAGACCATCCGATATTTTTCTTTTTCTTTCTGGCTTATTTTGCTGAGCATGATCCCTTCCAGCGCCATCCATGTTGCTGCAAATTGCATGTTTTTATCTTTTTTGAATGCTGAGTAATATTCCATGGTGTATATGTACCACATCTTCTTGATCATTTTTGGGCATTTGGGTTGTTTCCAAAGCTTAGCTATTCTAAATAGTGCTGCTATAAACATAGGGGTGCAGGTGCTCTTTGGAATTGATGTTTCTGTGTCCTTTGGGTAAATACCTAGGAGTGGAATTGCTGGATCCTATGGAAGCTCTATGTTTAGTAGGTCCAGAAATCTCCACACAGCTCTCCATAGTGGTTGGACCAGTTTGCACTCCCACCAACAGTGCAGGAGAGTTCCTTTTTCTCCACACCCTCGCCAACATTTGTTGTTGCTAGTTTTTTTAATATGTGCCATTCTCACTGGTGTTAGATGTTATCTCATGGTAGTTTTGATTTGCATTTCCCTGATTATGAGTGATGGTGAACATTTTTTCATATGCCTGTTGGCCATTTGCATTTCCTCTTCAGAGAAGTTTCTTTTTAGCTCTTCTGCCCATTTTTTCACTGGATTATTTTCTTTGTTGTTGTTGAGTCTCATCAGCTCTTTGCAGATTTTTGTCATCAGTCCTTTATCATTAGCGTTGTGTGCAAAAATGTTCTCCCAGTTGGTGGGGTTTCTCTTTGTTTTTGTTATTGTCTCTTTTGCTGTGCAGAAGCTCTTTAATTTGATGTAGTCCCAGCTGTTTATCTTTGCCTTCACTGTCACTGCTTTGGGTGATGTGTCTGTAAAGATGTCTTTGATGTGCATATCCCATAGTGTTTCGCCTATATTTCCTTCTATGTATTTTATGGTTTCAGGTTTTATGTCTAGTTCTTTAATCCATTTTGAGTTGATTTTTGTGTATGGTGTGAGGTAGTAGTCAAGCTTCATTCTTTTGCATGTAGCTACCCAGTTTTCCCAGCACCATTTATTGAACAAACTTTCTTTGCTCCAATGCATAGTCTTTGCTCCTTTGTCAAATATTAGTTGACCATAAATCTGTGGGTTAAATGGTGTTTTAACAACACATCCTCAGATCATTTTGAGAATGAAATGAGTAGATTTATGAATATATTTATAAACATTAGTATTATCATTAAAATAACTTACTTTCAGAACCCCTTTTGCATCTAATCACTTCACAAAATTTTCCTTCCCAAGTCTTCTCAGTCATTACTGTCCAGTGCACTAAAGAATGAATTGCTTGCTTTTATCAAAAATTTACTGAATTCCAGAGATTTCTTTCAGGACCTTCTGAGATCTATGACATATTAGCCATTCACATAAATTATCATATAAATGACAGGGTTTTTAATTAGAGAAATATAAAAGTCATTTCTCTGTTTCTAATTCTATTTGGTTTCCAGTAATTAACTTGAGTAGAATTAAGAAATAACCACAAGGGCCTCCCCTGGTGGCACAGCCGTTGAGCGCTGGGTGGCGAAGCTGCCCGCGGCTTCTACAATGCCAGTTCGATCCCCACCCGGCCACCAGCGAGGGTCCCACATGGCGCACAGACCTCTCCTGCCGCGCCCACTGTTCCCCTCAGCAGTGTATTTCATCAGTCTGCATGTTCTGTTTCCTGCTCTGGCTCTGGTGAATTCTCTCACCCTCTTGTGCTTCTGACTTTACCCAGTGCTTGTATAAATAAATAAATCTTAAAAAAAAAAAAAAAGAAATAACCACTAAAGCATCCTATATGCTAAATTAGAATATTCTCATGTCACATCTGAAGTCTTTCACTTCTTATACAAAGAGTGTTAGGAGGGCCTGCCTGGTGGCACAAAGTGTTAAGCACAGCACTATGAAGCTACCCACAACCTATGCAGCACAAGTTCGATCCCAGGGCCACCAGGGAATTATCCACATGGTGCGGCAGACCTCTCCTGTCGTGCCCACTGCTCTCCTCAGCAGTGTATTTCAGCCAGTCTGCCTGTTATGTTTCCCCACTCTGTCTCTGGTGAATCTTCTCACCACCTCCCACCTCTAGCCTGTACCCCAGTTCTTGTATGCATAAATAAATCTTTAAAAAAAAGTGTTAAGAGTTTTCTAGATTCATATCAAGGTAAAAATGTTCAGAGTATCATCTAAGTCCTGTCAGTTCTTTGAGGATCAGAAAGAAATCAATCAACATAGTGCTTATTTTTTATAAAGAATACAAACTCTAATACTGCAATCCAAAGACAGTAAAAATCTATCTCAGTTGTAAATATAGACTAATAGGGATCAGTTTCAATGTTTGTCATAAAATTTTATCTGGAAATGATAAATGTTATAAAATTTGAAATATATTACCACGGAATGAAAAAAAAAAAACCCTCAATTTAAAACTTTTGGAAAATAGAGAAGCCAGAATTGTCTAAGGCACTTTAGTAAACTAACATGCAACTTATTTTTCTATAGGTAAGATGAATATGATTTTATTCCTGCCCTCGATAGATTGGGGAAAAAAATTTATTTCTCCATCAATTTGATATACTACACATTAAAAAATGTATCGTCTTAAATACTCCCAACTTAAATATTTGAACAATTTAATATTTTAAAACCTATAAATCAAATTCACATATAAGGTCTGTGGTATTTCAATTATAATCTTAGAATTCTGCAACTGGGGGAAAACGTGTTCCTTTCCAGCACAATCTAAGGCTTTCACCATTCACTATAGATATCTATTATATAAACTGGAGTCCAGAGGGCAGACTGGTAAAGCCATTACATATGCTGACATTTTCATGTTTTAACCACACAATCTTTTATACATTTATGCGCAATATGAACTGAATGCAACAAATGCAAAACTGAGGGGTTGAAACACAGATTTAAATAATAGGGTATCACTGCCACCTAGTGGCCTCATAAAAATGACACGTTTCTTACAATTTTCTTTTTTTTAATTTTTTATTAAGCTTTTATTTTTTTACATAATTGTTCATTTTTAAACAATATTTGCTTCCCCCCACCCCCTCAGGTGTAGTCCCCATAGAGTTTCCTTCC